ATACTGTTGTTAAGGCAATACCCTGCCAGTAGGCTTCCGATCATATGAGCCAACATGTGTCAGGAATGCATGATGTCATATCCCGTCATCTCGTAGAACGATTTTCCCATCACTTTCTTAAGGCCGAAATGACAAATATGATGTTTACATTTGTATACGTGTACGCCATTCTCTCTTCGTTTCCTAGTTCATTTTCGTCATTCTTGTAGTGCAAGCCGAACACAGATTGATGCGGAAGGAAATGAGCTTTGACAAAAAGTTTCCCTACATATTTTATATACATACAAACATTTTTAAAATTCAGTCTTTATTAAAGTATTTTTACATAGATAAGGTACATGATTTATATAGCACACAAAGAAATAATAACACAACAATAAATTCCTTTTCAAAAATCAGCAAAATATTTTAAGCAAAACCGCATATACAGAGGACTTTAATAGTGTCATGCGATGGTGACGCAGGTCCTAAGCCCCACGAACGCCTCTGTCATTATCGTGGCCCCTTTGAAGTATAAAGACAATTAAGTAAAATTAAAAAATAATTTATGAATCATAATATTATTAATGTCTAAATGCAGTTGTACCTCAACGCAAAGTTTTGTTGAATATTTTTAAATCTGCTACTGCAGCAAGATGAGAAGCGTCCATTCCAGCCAAACTACTTTATTAACAGAATTTCCCGTACGATATGGAGTGCCCTTAAATATACAAATGTAAAAAGCTACGAAAAATGAAGTACTTAATTAATCCAAAATATATTATTACCATAGCTTGAACAGGATCCTCATCATGTATTTTTCACTTCTATCTACTACGGAGAAAATGATAAAAAAATGGCGTTCATAATATAAAACGGATAATCCGTTCAACTGCATTCTTCTTCAATTTGCATGTACTCAGAAGAGAAAAATAAACAAACAGATGTGCATATGTGTTAGAGCTGCTCGAAATCATGTGAGTGTATTGGTGAACCCATCACCCCGTTCTTGCAAGGTATTCTCCTTTAGAACCCGAAAAACGCTCTTTTTTTGCAAATTTTTTGAAAAAGAAGGAAACTTTTATGATATAGGAACTTATCGGACAATAATGTACTATATTTAAGCTTCAAAAACAAAATTTTCATATAAAAAAATATTGGAATTTTTCAATGTTGTGATTAGTTTTCTGAAGCGGCTGTAGCCCGAGCTCGTGAAACGGCGCCGGTGATAGAGGTCGCGCGATGCATCTGAAACAGTAAAACCACTTTTTTTTAATCTTTATGCGTGTCTCTTCTATATGTACTAAAAAATTACCAAGAAGTTGGAAAGTTAAAATTTTTTCCAAGTTTAAAAAAAAACTCATTTTAACTTGCAAAAAAATAGCATAATAACACTTTTGTCCAACTAAAAACTGAACTAAAAAATTCAAATAGTAGAAAAGTTAATACTGAGTGTAAATCACTTCGATTTTTTTAAATCGGACATATATTCCTGCACCGTTTCCTAAAATTTGTAAAAATGAAAACTCGAGAAAACACCCTTCAAAGTCGGTCCAAGCACTCGAACCTGCTCGAAGCGCGGGCACTAAAACTTTCATAGCTTTTAAAATATGCCACTGAAATTATTATAGCGTATTCTTGAATAGTTTTAGTATAGATTTAAGAAAGAAATGAAGCCTATTCTCACTGTTACCGGTAAAGTAAATTTTGTTACTTTTCTTTAACACTCGAAATTGAATTTGGTATTCTGGCGAACTTGTTGCATTATTTGAAAAAAACTTTGGCAGCACTGTTTTTTTCATCCATGTAAAATTACATTTGCCAGTTGATAAAGTAAAAAGAAAAATATTCACATCGAAATGGAAGACAGTGCACAAAAAAAATTAAAAAGTTTCATTAATTTGTTTATTAAATCATAAATATTTGAACCTAATTATGGAAAATATGCCTGGATAACAAAAAAAGCTGAATGAGGACATTATCTTACAAATTAAAGGGCTATTTTTTAGTCTCAAAAATTTCTTAAAATACGGATTTTTGCACTTTTTTCTTCATCTTCAATGAATTCCAGGCCTAATATATGTCTATCCATTTTGGTTTTTTATTTTTTCTCAGACTTACAACACAAAATCAAACAGCAGATATTTTTGTTACCCCCTATTTCGCTGGTAAAAAAATTTATAGGGTAACAGTGAACTCAGAATACGAAATGGTAACAAAATTTACTGAGGGGTAAATTTTAATACCAAAGTAAATTTTGTTACCTCGACAGAATAGGCCTGCTCAATGGTAGTTAATAAAACAGGGAATTCAAAATTCCAATTGGAAATGAAACTTCATACAATTGCATACATAATACATCACATTTATTATTTACATCGTTCGTATTTTTTGTTTTCATTTTATTTTTGAACGTTTAAAAATTGTTTTGTTTTATTTTTTCTTTATATTTTCACTGCAATCAACTTTTTTTTATAATTAATTGCATTTTTAGTTGACGTCAAAAGCTGAAAGAAAATAGAAAAATAAAACAGTTGCTTGAAAGCGCTTAAAGATACTACTAAATATACTCGTAAATATGTTTTTGCTTGCATAGTCCACTAACAATAACAATTTGGTGCGAATATTGCTTCTTCACCGAAGCATATTTCTAAGTTTTGTATTGTAATTTGAATCGATTGGCTTTCTTATTCCTATGCACAATGTTCTCAAGCATACATTCGTTAGACATATACGAGTATGTACATATGTGTAACCGATCATGAACTCTATCCAAAGTTAAATTTTCGTTATATCCTTTACTTTACCTAAACTCAGGAAAATCTATTGGTGGAATCGTGTAAACTTTTATATCGCCATTTTTACACTCAAAAAAAAAAAAAAGAAAGAAAGAAAGCAGTCATTCCAAATTAAACGAGACAGGCTTCAGCAAGATGGACTTCGGTTTGGCTGAAATTTCGCACAATATTCTTTGGGCCGACGTGATTTTCGCATGTTTAAAAATTATCTTACAAAACACTATTGAAGACTGTTCTTGAGACAATTTTCATATTTTCATTATGAAAACTAAGTAACGAACTAGTTTTAAGATTAGGTCTAAAATTAATATTTAAATAAAGTGAGTTTGGGTCAAATTGGTTGTGAAGCCCAGTCTTGTTAAGCGAAACGCAACAAAAGCAGGTTTGCAAAGGACGAATTCAAATCAAAACTGTTATTGAAAGAAATTTTTTAATCGATATTTAAATGCTAACAGGATTTTCAATAAGAGGCATTATTTTTAATTTCAAAGAAAATGGCATTTTTTGGGCTAAATGATCGGTTGTTTATTTCAATGTAAAGAGGAAGATATGCCACTAATAATGGAGGACGGTATCAGCCAAATGGTCGCCTTGGCTATGCTTACAGGACTGTATCCTTTTTATGAAATTTTCCGTCACCAAACCGCAAAGTGGCTGCTGTATGCCCTCAATAGCTTCACGATTCCATCTTTGAGGCCTTGAATCGGCGTTGTTCTGTTGGCGTAGACCTTATCTTTAACGCGGCACCAACAGAAGAAATCGCAAGGTGTTAAATCACAAAATTTCTTTGGCCAATTGCCACCACCTCTTTGAGAGATAACAAGGTCCGGAAACTTTTCCCTTGAAATATTTATGGTTTCGTTGTTTTTGTAGTACTTAGCGCAGTCTTGATGTGAGTAAACGTTGTCTAGGCCAATAGCATTCGATTCCGGCCATAACAAATCATTAAATATCTATCGACAGCGCAATTCACTCACTGTAACCGTTGCTCCGGCCTCTTTTTCGAAAAATCGAAGTCCAACGACTCCGTCCGACCATAATTTGCACCGTACACACGTTGAGGATGAAGAGAAGCTTGTAAGCAATAAATCACGGGTTTTACGAGCTCCAGACGCGACAGTTTTACTTATTGACGTAGCCATCGAGGTGGAAATGGGTCTAATCAGTAAAGGTGATTTTTCGAAGAAATGTAATATCAATTTCATGCATTTTAAGGACCCAAACAACAAAGACACAACGTCGTTTATGATTGTCGGACTTGAGTTCTTATGTTTACTGAACTTTATAACCCTTAAGAGGTAAGTCTTTATGCAAAATACTGTGTTGTGGGGTTTGTGGAATGCTCAATTCCAAAGTACGACGAGGAATCAACAAACCTGCGTTTTCCTTGGACTACTACAGCAGCAGCACTCCCAGTTGTCCTTGAGCGACATTATTAACTTGTTCCAACAGCTCCATTTTTTCACCAATGTCTGTAATGCGGTACGATAAAATGTTTCACGACGACCGAAAAATATTTTAGTTTTACAAACCGTCCCTGCCAGGTTTTCAACATTTTTATTTGAATTTGAAAAATTTCAATGTGCGGTATATCTAGACCAACCAAAAACTATACCCTTTGGATCAGCTTGACGATCTGAATTGACTTAACCATGTCCGCCTGTCTTCCGTCTTTTTAAACGCAAACTAAATTCTCAGTTTTTGATATTTAAATCAGACTCAGATTGCCGGTGTATTTTTGTAATGTATTAAAGCATTTATCGAAACCGGGCAGAACTATGGCTATATCATATGGTTTCTATATAACCGATTTGCTCAGATATAAGATTTTGGGCCAAGAACTCGTGGAAAAATATTCGTACATTTTTGTATTCTACAAACGTAAATGGAACGAAATATTGACGACAATATGTTCATGAAAGGTATAAAGACTTCGGCTTAAGCGAAGACGTCACAGTATTTCTTTCTTATTAAAAAAAACTTTATTAATATCTCTAGTATAGGAGATCTATACGAGATCTAAATCGATTAACTTTTAGGCAAATTAAATATATGCATTTTTAATATGCTAAAGATAATTCATAAGTTTTTAAGGCTTCGCTAGATTTACAACGGGTTTAACACGATATTAATCCATACATACGTCGAGTTGCAGCCAAACCAAAATCCATTACTTTTTATCATGTTTAATAAAAAAAAACTGTTTGAGAGAAACATGATAAAGGAATCTAAGTATTTAAAACTTTTTTCTTATGTATTTCTTCAATGTCTATATTTAGGTATTCGCATTTTACTGTTAGTTTTAACATTATTTTAGGTATGTACACAAGTGTAAGCATACATAAATGATGCAACGTTTTGGTTTATGCATATTTTCCATATGTATTTTCAAATGTGGCAAAATTTCTGTTTCTTTTTGTTTTGTTTTTCATATTGGAATATTTATTTTAGTTTTTTATTGGGTTTTTATTTTTCATTATTTATAAATTGCAATTGCGAAAAAAAAGAACAATTGCACGACATTCTATGAATGACAAGGAATTGTCACTGCACCCCACAGTGCATACTGGTGCAGAAAAATTCTTTCCGTTATCATGACGTTTCACTTAAATTGACAATTTAAGACTTTAATGGTAGAGAGTTAACATGAACATTAAGTAGTCATGTACATAGTTATGTATATATGTGTATATATTTTATATTCATATGTATGGTATGTAAGTATATTTTAGAGTATGTATTGCAATATGCTTGCTTGTGTGCAGTTTTGTTAGAATAGACGGCGCTTTTCTCCTTTCTTTATTCATTCAACAACACCACCACCACCACCATTTTACCACCAGCCATTGGCAGTGGTTGTTGTTGCAGTGTTATTCGTAACACCGCCAGCACCAGTGGCATTACCGCCATTACCACCGTTACCATTCCCATTCAGATGACCACCACATTGTTGATCTGGCGATGCTGATATCTGTAAAGTGCTGATATTTTGCACAAAAGTGTCCATAGCTGCTTCATCTAGATATGGTGATGCACATTGCGTGTGTGGACTGTGAGAATTCTTCTTGATTAACAATTCATTCAAGTCGAGTATTGCGTTTTGTTGTTGCTGTTGCTGCTGCTGCTGTTGTTGTTGTTGATGATTCTCATATTCATAATTGAAACGCTGATAAGATTCAACATCAGACTCGGTCCCAGCACTGCCCGCGTCAAGTTCATTCAGATTAACAAGATTGTTCGCTGCAAACATATTGGCGGCATCTTTAAAAATATATATGTTTGTATATGAAAAGGAATTGAAAAATCAAATGTTAAGGAGTATTGGGGGGAAAAATAAACTCACCATTGCCGAAATCAGTTAAAGTTTCATTATAATTGGGTACAATATTTGGATGATATTTTGTCTGCTGCTCGTTCAGTGTGCCCTGTGTTGTCAGTGATGCTGATGTTGAACAATGTTCGTATATATTCGTAGTCGTTGATGTCGGCCTACTGCGATAGACCGGCGTTATTTCTACACGATGTGGCACCGGTGATGTCGTACTTCGTGTAAAATTCGAGTCGTTTATGTTGTGAATGGACACCTGTGGCGAGAAACAAACATAAACAAATGTATTTCAAATCAAGAATGGAAAAGCTTGGTTCGAAATTTCGAAGTAATGACCAGTGTAGAAATATAAATATATTAGGTGTAGTAAAAAGAGATCCATTATTTTTTCAATAGATGGCGTTATTTATCTGTATCTCGCGTTGTATAAGCCCGATCGGGTTTCGCTAGATGGCGTTAGAAAGATGACATTTCGTACTAAAAATGAGTTTTTCTGACAGTTTTGTGATTGGTTGATTCAGTTTTGTTTGAGAGAAAATACGCTATATTTTACAGTTTTTCTTCGATACGGGTAAAAACGTGAGCCAGGGGGCTGAAAATGTGAGAAGTGTTTATGGTCCTGATTCTGTTACATGCTGCAACTACCCAATTCGCGTACCTTCCATCAATAGCAACCTATCTCATGAGAGCGCCATGTAAACTTAAAGTTGTCACCGCTTGCCCATGCCGTTGTGACGTTTGTCCCGCAGAAACCAACGGAGATTTGATTTTTTCCGTAAAAAGGGCTGGGCTCATTTCTCGCTGATAAACAATTTTGCTAGTATAGGCTTTTTTTTTAAAGTAATATTAAATAATCGAAGATAATGCGTAGTTTTTTTTCAAAAGAAATGTAAACTAAATGCGTAACTAATTATTTGTTACCATATAGATCATGTATATTTGATTTGCGTTATATTATGACGAAAATTATGAATTTGTTCAAAAGTGTGCAAACACACTGGCAGCTGGCAACATTTTGCCGCTCTCAGCAGCGTCGATAACTCGTGTATGTATCTCGCTCTTGACGTCGGCTGTTATGAATGGATGGTAAGTATAATGGGTAGTTGCAATTCCGGTAATTTTGATGTAAAAGATGCTTCGCAGAAGGGATAAAATCATGGACATTGTCGAGTCCGATTATCACGCTAAAGATTGCACAAAAATTAAAGCATTCAATTTCATACAGAAATGATGGATTTCTTTTTACTACAACTAATATTTTATTCATGCTTTAAATAAACTTTTTTTCCTTATTATGTGTAAATAACGCTTTCTTTCGATTCTTGGAGAGACAACAATTTTTGTTTATTTGTAAATTAATTAATTAATTAAAGATAAAGTTTTTGAAGGCTTCAAATGAATTTAATTCTCTCTAATTCGAGGCAATTATCCGATTAGATTGAATTTATTTGCTTCTATTTTCGTGCTATATTCTTCGATTTCTTTGTAAAGTGTATTGTACTTTGTGTTTCCAATAGTAACAAGAGGAAGGCCTTTGTTTAATATTTTCATAAATTTTGTATCGAGAACCGAAAACACCACAGCTTGTTAGCATATTTTTTTACATTTGAGTTTTCGCTACGGTGCAATTATCTTTTAACTCACCTCATTGCTGAGATTTTGTCCAGGTATTAAATTCTTCAAAAACGAAGCATCATCGTAACGTATAACCCCGGTATTTGTTATACCATCCAGATATGAATTGTATCCGGTTATTGTAGGTGGAGGCGAATCTTCGCCACAATTATGATGATGTAAGTGGCAATCGGGCCCACCGTCAAAAAGAGAACCAGTATTACTCGAATGCGCACCAGGCGTTGACAGTTGACTGCTATTGCTTTGAGCAGCGCCTGGTGGGAATACATCCACAAAACCGTTGTAATAACTGGACTGTTGATATTTATCTTGTAAGGAAGCAGCAGTTAAACAGCCAGTCGTTCCCACACCAACAACATTATTACCAGTATTTGTTAAACAACTAGTCGCAGCACCGCCGAGGTAAACTGCTGCCGCTGCTGCTACTGTAAAAATTAGAGCAACATATATATATATATATATATATTTAAAAAACCAAAATGTAATTATAGAAAAGTCATGGAGTGGATGGCCATCCACGACGTACTGCATACTACTTTTCGTACAATTATTACTTACAATTGTCTGCTCCAGACACTCCGGACACTCCAGCCCCTTGCAGCTCTTGCCCGCCATATGCAGTCCATTGCGGTGTACCTTCTTTGTTTTTCTGTTTCTGCTGTTGTGCGTTCTTTATTTCACTACCAATAGCTGAGATACATTTTGGTTGTGGTGATGGTCGAGCAATTATCGCTGCATCACCTTTCAAACCGCCGCCACCATTACCGGTTAACGGTATGCTAACACCATGTTCATCAATGCTTGTACAACTAATACTGATGGTGTTATGTATATTGCCAATAGTGTTGGCGCCGACACTGGCGGCGGATGAGGAAGATGAAGCGGCTGCTGTATTGCCGTTGCTTGCATTCGAGAAATATGAGAAGGCCGAAGTTGAGGAGACGCTACTGCCATCACTATTATTATTGTTTGTTGATAAGATTTGGTTGGTAGTATTTAGTTGTTGCTGTTGTGTAGCTCTAACTGCTTCGGCCGCGGCTTCTTGTGGCGTATAATAGAATTGGCGATATGGTGCTTGTCCTAAGCCTAAACCTTTTGTTACTGCTTGATGAAGAGCAGGATTGCGTATTGTGAACATGCCATTTTCGTTCTTAATTATGGCAGCTGGTTGGTCCATTGGCAGCGAGGCAAGCGGTAAACCACCTATTGGGCGACCTAAATGTATATTTCACATTATTACAATTTAACTCATGGTTAAACATTGGATTTCTCGTATGTCATACACTCACCTTGCGCTAGTCCTGGAGTTTGTTGTAGTATCGTTGCTGCAGCGCTAGCAGCTCCTCCATGGAACATTGGATTTCGCAATGTTATCATCTTAGGCTGGCCGTTTGCACTGTGATCACTAACATTATCACCCATTTGCCTGTTTGCAGCAGCTGCGGCGGCTGCAGCGGCACGTGCATTACTTTCTTGTTTCGATTTATTACGACGCTTCTTGCTCTTTGAAGGCTTGCCACCAGATTGTGGGGCACCACTTTCTGCTACAATCTTTTTCTGTTCTTTTTTGTTACCGCTACTATTTGGATTTGCCTCTACCATTATGATGCCACTTTGCTCCAATGCAGCAGCTGCTGCAGCTACGCCAGCGTATGGTGCAGCACCGAAGTAATTAGCTGCTGGAGCTACGGGTGGTGCAATTATTGTAGCACCAGCCTTATGATGGAATGCTTGCGGCTGATTTTGCTGTTGCAAAGGCTTCGATAGCTTTCGTATTGATTCGGATTTTTGACGCAGCTGTTCACTCTTTATAGGATCCACCTTGGTAAGTGTGATGCCAGGCGGTAGGGAAAGATTTTCAACTTGTACACCACGATTCAATTGATCCATAATGCTGAGGGCAGGCACAACGCCTTGATAGCCGCCGTTGCCATTTCCATTGCTTACACTGGCGTAACTGGGATGCATAGGTGGTTGTCCGTTTACTTTCACACTTACATTACCACCGATATGTAGCGCTTGCAGTTGCTGTGGCAAACTATTGTACTGTTGTTGCTGTAATGTTGGCTGTGGTTCAGGGGGAATCACAACTTCGTCTGGATTGAAGTAGCCCATATTGTTCGGTATGCCAGCGCCGCAGTCTTCATAGTTGAGGTGTAGATGCTGTTGCTTTTGGAACTTCTTATTGCGTTGCGCTTGTCTTTGAGCCCGCTTCGATAGTGGTTTTGTCTCAGCGCCAACATTTTGGGCTTGCTGATTGGGTTCCGCAGAATGTCGGTTGGCATTTTGATTACTGTTAGCTCCACCACCACCTTTAAAGAAATCGTTTTTATAATTCCATTAGAAATGAAAAATTAATAATTTTTACCTGTTCCACGGCCACCACGTTCGTAACGTCCACTACGTTTAGAACGTGTATCGCTTACTCCACTTACACCCCCGCTGTCAGCGCTGCACCGACCGTTACCGTTACCGTTACCATTACCGCCACCTCCAGCTCCAGCTCCACCTCTACCGCCTCGCCCACCTCTGCTACGTGGTTGATCATGTGTCTGTCCTTGTTGTTGACCTTGCAATGCCTTTTGGGACCCGTTTTCAGACAACTTTTGCTGTCTTGACGACTGACGACTTGTCTTCGAGGCCGGTTCTCTTTGTTGCGTTCCTCCTGCTCCAACAATCGACATTGATCTAGCGGCTTCAACAGCTCCAGACTTAATACTCTGTGACGCTTGTTCATTTTCCTTGCCTTTACCCTTTCCCTTAGTGATTCCTATGTCTCTATCCCGATCTCTTTCCCTGTCTTTATCACCTCTGCGCTGAGTTTGCGTTGATGAGCGTTGTTTTGGTTGTGACGACTGTTGTTGTTGCTGTGGTGAAGGCGTGGATTGCTGTTCTTGCCTTTTATTAGCAACCTCCTCCTTTCGCTGCTCCTGCTGACCTCTCTTGTTCTGAGTCCTTGTATTGTGTTGATTAACGTTTGCTTCTACTTTCATCTTGTCTTCGACGATTTTTGCTTTTGTCTTCGTAGCGGATGTAGATAAAGAGCCCATTGCTCCCAATGTGGTGTCCGTAGCTACCCTTGGCGTCGTCGTGGTTTTCGTAGACAACTTAGCTTTAATGGAAAGTTGATTAGCTGGCGTCGTATTTTGCTGTGCCACAGTAACTTGGTTCTGCTTTTGATCGTTATCCGAATCTGTTTCAATATCATCTTCATCGAAGCTCAATGAAGTTGAATCCCACTCTGAGTCGGAATCTTGGGTATGCAAAGTAGCGAAAGGGTTGTTATCGAATTGACCGTTGTCTATGAAACGCGGTCGATGGATACGCTCTTTATTGCGTTTCTTTCGTTCTTTTTGCTTGGATTCCTCAACAGTTTCTGTGGGCACCGAAGACGGAGTTTTTGCTTTCTCTATATTGTCAGGTTCGTCCACTTTTTTATTGCCACCATTGCCTTTGTTCGAGTGTGGTTGTCCTTCGTTCTGCGGCTTTTGTTTAGCCACTTCCCTCTGCTTTTGTGACGTTGTCGCCTTTTGGCATTGAGATGATGTTTTCTGTTTAGAAGTTACAGACTTTCTCGTCGTATTCGCAATCTTCAAGCTATCACCACAGATGATTGGCTTCTGATTACTCAACGAATTCTCTCTCGTGTTCATTCGGCTGTTGACTGGCGTAGCAGATAACGATGTACCTGCAGAGCAGGATGTGGTTGTGGAAGCTGAACGTTGATTTTTCCCTGTTTTCAACGCTCCTTCATTTGCTTCTGCCGTGGAGACGGATGTCGTTGACGCCGACTGCATAACTCCATTCTTGCCGGATTTTTTCTTTGATTTCAATTTGGTAGCAGCGGTATCACTCCGCCGTTTTTCCGTTTTTTGTTGGTTAGCTTGCTCTTGTTCTAATCGCAGTCGCTCTTCCTCAGCATCAGCTGCAGCTTTAGCCGCTGCCTCTTCTGCCGCTAGTTTCGCTGCGCGACGTCGTTCTTTCTTCAATTGGGTTTTTGTCAAGGGTGGTGGTGGTATTGACAGTGTTAATTGTTCCGCTGGGGTATTACTAGCTATAACGGGTGGCGGCGGCGTTGGTGCCTGCATTGGCAGTGGCAAAGGTATTTGCTGTAATGGCAATTGTGTCATTGGCGGGGCAGCAGTCGGTACCAATTGCCCATTGACAAAGGTGTACAGCAACTTATCTTTGTCCGCAGTATTGGCCTTGGCACTAACGGTAACTCGAGGCTCTGTCACATTCGACATTTGCTCTAAGGGAAGTTGTGTCATTGGCGGCACCGTAGTCGGCACAAGTTGTCCATTCACAAATGTGTAGAGCAACTTATCCTTATCAGGAGAGCTACCCTTAGCTGTGACCGTGACACGTGGTTCTGGCACATTTGGCAAGTTAACGCGTCGTATAGTGACAATGCGTTTGGAAGGGTCAGCATTCGAATTACAAGCGGCATTCGCTGCCATTGCAGCAACAACATCCGGCGAGAGAGTTTGATGTGGCGGCGGCGCGTAGCACATCGGTGTAGGCAAGGGCGCACGTATCATACCATAGCCAGCGCCGGCACCGACAGCATTTAAACTGCTAGCCTGTGATGACTGGAAGTCGATTTGATAAGGTGAAAATGATGGTCCGGATACATTCGAATGAGTGTACGCCGATGGCAGCACATAACTACTGCTACCCGACATAATGCCAGAAGCGGCATTCAGGTTATTTATGCCATCAATAACATTCGGAGATGTGGATGGCACTGTTGGGTTTGTATTGCCGTTTGTGCAACGAGTAGCGTTGTCTTCAATCACTTTTAACTTTTCTATTTGCTGTTCTTTTGTGGGCAAATAAGAAAATTTAAATTCAGCGTTTGTCTGCTTAACAGTGGCAATCAATTCCAATATCACAGTCTCCACTTTTCCTTTAGCGCGTTGCAACTTTTTGATGTTTGTTTCAATCTCACCAATTTGCCTCTTGTCACGTTTCTTACTACTCTTTAGCAACTTTAGTTTATGTTTATCAGTGAATTCCTTAAAGTAAATATCCTGAAACTGTCCACGCAAATCCTGTAGTTCTAGAATACGTTTTTCTTCTTCTTTGCGCTGCTTTTGTTTTGCCTTTTTAGCTGCTTTCTTCGGGTTGGTAGTTTGTGGTTGCGATTTTTTGCCATTACCATTAATGCCATCTATGCCACCTTCGATGTAGCTCAGAGTTTCGTTTATCCATTTTTTCACTTTTTCACGATCCCGTGAATAATGATCTAGGAACTCTTTAGAATAACCATTCAAGTAAACACTAAACACACTCAAATCACGTGAGTCCGCACCTTTATCACTGCCGCCAGAAACACCTTTTCCATTTGTTCCTCGGCTGCTGGCCGCTTCGCGAGTGGCTGCCTCCCATGCCGCAGCATTTGCATTGGAATTTGTTAGTTTCTTGGTGGGCGGAGTGCCGGCCAATATTGCTGCTGCCGCCGCTGCGGCTGAAGATGGTGCTTTTTTGCCAACTCCATTTTGAGTTGTCGTTATTGGCTGTGAATTGGATGGTCCACCTGTGGATGTTGCATTCATATGCAAATGACTAATACGTTTACATAGTGAGCTTAGGCACACTAAGCTATCGTCGTCATCCTCTAATTTGTTGCTTGTAGAACAGTGCGCTTTGGAATTAGCAGCGGTAGCTGCAGCAGCTGCTTTAGCTACTGCTTTTAAAGACGGTGGCTGTTTGGTGTTCGTCAAAGTCATTGGCGCTACTTGCGGATGAAGTTGTTCTGGCTGTTGTTGATCACTTGGGGTCGCTCCTGCAGCTGCCGCCGCTGCCTTCATATTTTTGCGAGCATTTACCAACTGCGACAACTTTTTACGCAATCTATCGCGTGTTTCGTTCATTCGGGCATGATTGCACTCCTGTAATTAGTAAAATATATATAATAATATTTCAATTACAAAATTCTATTAAATTGGTGCTACCTTTTTAATACGTTTTTTGCTGGAATGATTCTCTTTACAGTGATCACCCAAATCTGAATGATCGAAGCAACCTAATAATAGATAAAAATAATTATTTAAGAAGCTTTTTCCACGCAAACCTCTTGATACATACATTTCTTTAGTTTCTCTTTGCAATTCTTTTTCGAGTGATCATCAGTAACAGTCGCTGGTTCTATATTGGTAACAGGCGGTGGGATTTGGTCATGCAAGACCGGAGTGCTTTAGGAAAAATGTAAAAAAAAAAAAAAATATTCTAAATTACACAATGGCATGCACAAAATATATGTGCAAATATATATTTACATATCAACAGTTTTATAAAAAAATTATGTATGTATTTACCTTTGACTATCCTCGAAATTCAGAAGTTCATCCAATTTCTTTTGAATCTCTTCTGTGTGCACATCTACAGTAAACGCAAAACTGAAAACAATTAGAAAAGCTCATATTATTGTAAAAAAAGAGAAAAGAAATCAGTATCCTTTACTTACTCTGATTCGACTTGGCTTTTAAATGGCGATAAACTGTTGGCAAATAATATATATATATATAAACATTTAGAAATAAATATGCGATTGTATAACTTATATGCGTTGGTTTTTACCTTTTTATTTTATCCAAAAATTTTGCAAACTTTGTATCGTCCTTGTTGCCGACGATTTTATCTGTACAAAGTCTTATATCATTATTTGCCAACTCAAAGTAGGACAAATTCAGCGGACATTTAAGATCAAATTCTACAAAATATCTAGCATAAAGTGATATTATAAATGTCCAATAGATCTTCACAACAAGGTCATGCACATCAGTCAAATCGAAACCTATGTTAAAAGCAATCATTTTTCGATTATAGAACATGATGTTTGGCAGTATAGCACGCAGTTCTTCGATACTCATAGACAGCTGTTGATAATATTGCACCAAGTGCTGAGACAAAGTAGGGGCCACTTCATTGTTGAGTATTTTTCGAGCCAATAAGCAGGATGGGCTGGTGCAATCAGTACAAAAATATTTTTCATCTATAGCTGGATATCTATAACGTTTTCTATCTGCAATAAATAAATTTTACTTATTTAAGAAAACATTTATTTTTAATATTAGAAGAACGTACTATTGAAATGTTGAAATACAGCCCAAGCAGTATGATATTGACCCAATTCGATAGTGTCTTCAGCAGTTAGCTCTTCGATGGCGGGCAATGTACTACAAGCTTCGTCACCAAAATCATCGAGTGTGGTACTTTTACGCTTACTATTACTTCTTACAAATGATAGAAAATCATCACTTGTGCAAACGTTTAAAATTTTCGATTCATAGAGGTTAACTTCTTTTTCGATAAGAGATTGTGCCATACATTTGTAGCAAGTCTGATCTGAATTGCGTCGAGGTGGTAAAGGGCCTCCAGCGATAGAACAAGTAATACATTTGCAATGCCTGTATAAAATATAAAAACCGATTATTAATTAAAAATAATAAAACTTCTCATTATAAAATAATAATAACACTATGAAATAGTGAAACATCTAAATTTGCCCCTTACTACACCGCATTTTTAAATATAAATATAAATTATTCCTATATTATTTATGTAAACCACCCGCTAGCTCACTCTGTGTGATATTCCAACAATGCATTGCATTTCTTGCACTTGTCATCGCACACCAAGGTATTTGGTGGTTTAAAAAATCCGTCCGGCCATTTCATTTTCGTATATGCCATTATATTTTGCCAGGCGAGACGTCGATTCTCCAAACATTGGAAGTCATAGAAGTCATTATCATCATCGAACTCCTGTAAGGCAAATGCAATTGCATCTTGTACCACGGTATCGAATATACGATGCACATTTAATAGACATTTTCGACGTTTGCGCTCCGCTTCAGATAAATTGAATTTGTTAAGTTCATTCCAAACATCTGCCCAACGTTTTTCAACGCATGTCATTTTATCATCAAATTGTATGTACTTCTTAATAAGGGTGGCATGCCGAGATGTCAATTCATCCTCCTTTAACTAAGCAAAATTGTTCATAATTACAAATGACATTCCATTATATGAAGATAACTTACAGTGATAATACAAGCCAACATAGTATCAGTGAGATTGGAGTAAACGTGGAGCTGATATAGGCGTTGGCACAGTAAAGTCCATGTGAGGTTGAATTTGCGTAGAAAATCATTTTCAAACGCAAACAAATAACAAGATATCTGTTCCGATATACGACATAAATCATCATATCCATCCAAAATATCTGTGCAATTAGTAAGAAAAATTTCATGTTTAGATGTGTGTACACTCAGTTAATTATTTCTTATAATTAGCCTTACATGTTAGCATTTCCTCAGCAGGTATTTTATTGTTGTCTGGCTCAACAATTTCTATAAAACCTTCCGCGTACGCTTTGACTACGCATTCAACATGAAAAGCTAATATTTGTAACAACAAAAGTGGGTTGTTTACCATGAGTCTGTAAAAGTAAAAAATAAATGGTATTAAGTCGCCCTGATAATGATAAGAATGACATTAAATCAATTATCTCACATGGAACTAAAAAGCACAAATATCATATTATCTGATAAGGAGTCATCGTATATGAAATCCATATGTTCAGCCTTTTTGTTATAAACAAAACCGCAAGCTATCCAATAGATCTCTTTGTTAGCATCCAAAAGTTTTTCAAACTTATTGTAAGCTGTCCGATTTCTTAAAAAGTAAACATATTATAAGAAAATATTGATATGTAATTTCTATTTCTAGTCGTGAAGTGTATACTTACTTTAGCATTGGTCCGTACGCTTTTATTAGAACATCCAGTAACATTACCACCATGTGTGCCGTTTTAAACTGTTCCACCATAATATGTATCACAATTTCACGGTACTTTAAACAATTTTTGCATGAGCAAAATGTAAAGAATTCATCGTTACTGTGTTTGACATGTATGTTGGACGCATCCTATTTAACGAAATTTTATTGACATTTATTAAATTAGCTGCAGAAACGAACTATTTCATATTTACCATAAATGGACTAAGGTTACGACGCTTTTTGCTTACTGCCAACTCTGCTATAAGGCTTTTCTTAATATCTACTTCAATTACATTGTCTTCGCGTAGACTCAATTGCGTGAGGGAGACGACGTTTTTAATGATTAGTTGCACTTGCAGATGAGGTGCATGTGGATCAAATGGCGGTAAAGAGAGTATTTTGGATAATGCTGACGTTGGATTTTTATCATCAACGACCGAAACGCCAGGATCCGAAAACGGCAGTTTGGATAATAGCATTGAACGGTCCGAGTCTGCGCTATCTGCATTCGGTTCTGGTGAAACCAGTAGTATCTCAGGCACATCGTCGTCCTCGTCACTAGAACTTGTACTGCTGCTATCACTATCAGGTCGAGGTTTCAACAACATGCCACCCAATTGCGTCTGCCCTGTAGCATTTTCTTGCTGGTCCGCATCGGATTCATGGGTGTCAGTTCCAGCATCTTCGCACTTTTTATCACTACATTTTTGTACTCTTAATGTAGATTTTGCTTCACCAATTAGAGCAGACTTCATGCTTTGCCAATCAAGTAGATGAGCACCTCCACCACCACCTGCAGAATGTGCAGCTGCAGCCTCTAGTGCAGCTGCTAACTTAAAATGCACAGTGCCGAAATCATCTCCATCAGAAAATGATGGTGATGCCCGATTAGCGAATACCAATGTGCTCTTGCTAGTACATGGCGTCTCCATTTCCATCCCTTCATTAACTTTAGCTTTGTCTGACGTAACGGGTGCATCAGAGCTAGGGCCACTGTTTGGGCTGCAGGTGGAAGAGTTTACTTTGATGCGTCGAACCCGCACTCGAAGCTCTTTTGCTTTACGTGCTTCCATTAGATATCCTTAAACCGGATATGTGCTTTTAATGCAGTTAAAATAAAACTGCACCAGCACAACTTAATTTTAATTGAATCGATGACGCTGGAATAGATGCGACATCTACACTGAAGGCGATCTTTCGCGCTTGCACTTGCAATCACCACGGTGAGATGAAGGGAACGGACGGCGGCGCATTTAATTAGATATTTTTAGTAGCTTTACGTATTAATCACTGTTGCTTTTGTGATACAAATGTTTTACACGAAGGAATTGTGTTAATTTCTCTAAAAATTTTATATATTTTTTTTCTTTTATTGCTATTTTGAGTATGATTGCACGCGCCAGTAGCAGGTTAACTTGCTCGGTAGTATGCGGTACTTTATTTCCGTATTTACCACCATCCGTATTTTTCACAGTACACTTTTTCTGTTATTTTGTATGCACTTCATTCGTCGTTTGCATTTTTCGTTTTGTCCGTTTGCTAATTCGTTCGCTGCAAGTTTGTGTCCAGTGCCAGAGCGCCTTAAAGCGCACAAAAAACAGCGCAAAGCGGTGCGGGTAGACGAGACCCAGAATTTCCGCGACACTTTCACTCGGCCGCCGCAGCTACAAGCTAAGTGCACTGAGCGACTTGGTTCCTTTACTGTTTTTCGGTAACACCTTCCACTTAACACTTTGTTTATGTTAATTAAATTTGAAAAAATATTTCAGATTTTAGTATTTTAATACTTGTATCTACTTGTAAAACGTCTTATTGTTTAATTTTCCCTTTTTCCACGGATGTATGAAATTTTCTCGTTCTGCGCTTCGTTCTCTATTCCTCGTTTAATGTCGTTCGCAAGTATTGCAGCCAACTTTGTTTTTAACAGAGTTGCATGTTAGCGTAGGTTTTCAAAATTTTTAAAGCTTTTTACACATTATTATAGTTTTCGAAGTTCTTCACACATTTCATATGTTCCAGAATAAGAAACTTGCAGATTACAAGCTTAAAAAATATTAAACAGAAAAATATTTTAGAAATTGTTCTTATTTAGAATCCTCGTTATGCCCAAAAGGAACTATACCGATTGTTTATAACTGAGTAGAAAAAAACTTGACTGTGAAAAGTTGTTTCCGTTAATTTCAGTTGGAAGTCTTCGACATATTTTAGGAATCGCCATGAATGGCCATGAACGCATGTTAGATCATCTAGCTTTCTTCATGAGTTTATCCTAGCAAAGGATGAGTAACTAACAGTTCATGCTACTATGCTGAAGATTATGAGTACGAATTTTGGTCAGACCAAAAGAAAAATGTAATGCAGTATTCTCTCACAAACAGTTGTTTGGAGACAGCTTAGAATAAATTACAGGTCCCTCCATTTGTTGGGAAAATAATGAGACGCATACCCCAAATAGGAATAGCAGCCAACTATGAGAAAAGGCGTTTCTTAATTATCCAGGAACCCATTGAAATGATCACACTAAATTTCATCCAAAATGGCTCAACCAATTACATAGACGACGACCGTACGTACAGAAGAGTTTTATATGTATTTGGCCTATTCGCTATAAAGAGTATTGTATCTACATATTTGGACCTGAAATTAAGTGTGGGCACCTGCGTTCAGTGAGATATTTTGCCCTCTGGTTGTATCATCACCACCAAAAGAGTTTAGATATAACGTAATGATCACTTCTTGGTTTAGATTCGCTAAAATAAGAAAAGATTACAAAATTCCAAGGTACTTGTCATTTGGTTTTACCAACAGAATGATGCTCTTTCTTTTCCCCCGAGCGTAGCCGAGTATAGTGTGTCGGCTGCGCTGGCTAGGTCATGTCGCCCGAATGGATGAGAGCGTTCCAGCTTTAAAAGGGTTCGAAATAATATCCGTTGGTAAAAGCAGATGAAGGATCAGTTAGAGATCGATCTGGTTACACTTGGTATGCCCAGTTGGCGCCAAACAGCGCAAAAAAGGATGAATGGTGCGTTATTGCTGATTGCTGATTTAACTATTGTATAATCATGTAAACGGTGCCTACGCCAATGAAGAAGAAGACGTTGAACTTGGTAAACATAAAAAGTAATAACCGCTCACCTCAGTAGTTTACAAGAATTGAGTTTCTCAAAACTTTAATAAGGTGTGTCTTCTGTGTTTTTTCTGGTTTACTGTTTTCGGGTGTTTTTTTTCACTACAGTTAAACGGAATGGAAACGTGCTCTCTCCATAAACTTGATATACCTTAAACGTCAGTCATTTTGGACATCTCCAACTTTATATTCACAAATATCAGCCCTTCTCTTCCTCTCTTCCTATATTTTCCATACCACTAGACTTGCAAACTAACGCAACTCTGCTATATAGCGGCAGTATTTCTTCTCACCACTGTGGTACGACAATCCTCATAGCTGGAGCTTCGCTTTTAATATTGTAGAAAACCAATAGTTTCATTGCAGCTGTACATAGGGAACTTTAAGTTCCGTCCCACAGCAGTTCTAAAATATGCTTTAAAAAAAATTTTTTTTTTGAAATGTCAGCGAATTGACGGCCGTGATATCCGAGTGGTGGACAAACTTACTTACTTTACTGGTGTAATTGGAAATACAAAGTACAGCCAGGTTCTTTTCTACCTGGTCTTTCCAACGGAGTGGAGGTCTCCCCCTTCCTCTGTTTCCACTGGCGGGAGTATTCGCATCCATCCGGATCACATGACCTGGGCAGCGTAGCTGCTGCTTCTCGATTCACTGAACTAAATCAATGTTGCCGTATAACTCGTACATCTCATCGTTCCATCGTCTGTGATATTCGCTGTTGCAAATGCGGAAAAACTCCTAGCGCCGACTCATCACATGTTGTCTCTGAGTGTATTTCTGGCATGTAATAAAAAAAAACACCTCATAAAAATCCATCGGTCGTTCGGAGGCAACTTAGAATGAACTGAAGGTCCTTCCATTTGTTAGAGAAACATTAAGACGCAGACCACGAATTCGAGGAGAAGCTCGGCTGAAAATCGCTTCAGCGCTTACCGAAGGCCAATACATATATATTGTAGGAGTATATAATTTCAGCGGCAAACGGAGAAAATATAAAATAAACTCTAATCAACGATAAAAAGTGCTTGTGAACGTTTAAAATTTGTGCTGCCAATTGTTGTTGCTGACTACCACAGTGTGTGTCGCTTCCAGAAGCAATTAATCGATCCCATCGATTTCATTGTAAGCGAAAGCATTTTCTTTAAACTGGTTTTTACTCCTATGCTGCGTCGTCCATTGCTTTACACTTATATTTCTTATCAGAAAGTCTGCTTCACTACTTGCCACTCAATTGGGGTTTTAATTACATGGCTCATCAAGTGGCTGAACTCGCATTCTCGTTAGCGATCACTGCTTCCCCCACTACTAAGTAGGTGCGAGTGTGTATGTGTCGCAGGGTGATGCTGGTGATGATCAATGTTAATAAGTAAAAATGAACATATGTACATATGTACATTCATATATTCTTCGGAGCGAATCACACTCTCGTACCAGTATGAGAATTGCGTTTTCTTTAAGAGAGATCGACTTTGATTTCTATTTCGCAAAATGATATTGATACTTTGAGCACTGTCAGTAGGATTTGAAGCGCCGATTGGCACAGTTCGTTAATCGTTTAGAAAATATATATGCATACTTGTGGTGTTACTAAATAATATAGAGACATGAAGATCAAAACTCAGATATTTCTATTTTTGTTGTTGTTGTATATCGTAGATTTTGTTGTTTGTGATGGCATGATTGAAGTTTTTGGTTGGAAGCAAATGGATTTTTACAACCGTGGCGAGCGCAGTCCGGACGACAATAATAATGGAGGTGTCGGTGGAGTTGGGGGTGGCCATACGAATCGACCATCGAGTAAGAAAATCAAAATCTGTATATAAATAACTCTTTAATACGTATGAATGTATTATTGATACATAAATTAAAGATTTATCTCCGTACATCCCTTGCAAAGTAGCTTTTGTAATCATGGTTGTTTATATACATACTGCTATGTATGTATGTACGCATGCATTCTCGTATATATGTGTGTGTTTATAAACAAATCTTAAAAATTGCTTAGCTTATAGCTAAAATCTATTGATATGAAATCGTCGAATAGGTATACAAGATTAGTACAATGTACATACATACATATATATACGAGGTGAGACAATTACGTAATGAGACTGATTCCATAGAAACCGTAGATTTCAAAATTATTCTACAAAGATTCCAGCGCGTTTTCCATGCTTCGTAATATTTCTGGGACGCTTTGACTGGGATGTCCGCGAGTAACCACGGCACGGCCGCCTGGAGGTCCTCAATCGACTCAAAATGGGCTCTCTGACCACCGATTTTGTTCTAGGAAACACGGCGATCCCTTTAGAGGCCAAATACCGGTACACGCTGAGGGCGGTGTGGCACGGCATGTTGTCGTGATGAAGAATCCTGTTACGAGCGATGTCTGGGCTCACCCTGTTGGCTCGTTTTCGCAATCTTTCAAGTATTTGGCGATAGTAGAATTTATTTACGGCTAGCCCTGGTGGAAGAAATTCTTTTTGAACGATTTCACGGTTATCAAAAGAGGACTGGTCTCCCACTCCGCGCCTCGTCTTCCACATTTTCACGCCCCTCCTTAAACTCTTTATGCCATCGAAACACCTGGACAATGGAAAGGGATTTTCCAGGTCGCAGTGTTACCAAAATCTTGGCAATATAATCAGTCTCATTATTTATTACCGCACCTCGTATATAAATAATGCTTTATAACCTCTGAAGCGATTTTCTTCCGAGCTTCTCCTCCAATTTATGGCATGCGTCTTGATGCCTAACAAATGGAGGGATCTACCGAATGTCAGTATGCAATTCTAGGCGCTCGGCCGACATTTATCGCTACATTTATCAATGCTTGTGCAGGAGGACACGCTGAGATTTAGGCAAGAAAAATCACATTTCTGTTAGTTATTTTTGCTCAAAGAGAGATCAATGCCGAACATTTGCTCTATTTTTAGAGTCTACTACGTTAATAACCCGTAATCACCAAATATGGTATGGATGTTGTAAGCCGATGATATTGACATTATTAGTCTCAACAACCACGCCGTGAGTTCTGCTTTCTCCACACTGGATAAGAAAGCGAAGGATATCGGTCTGGTAATGAACGAGGGCAAGAATAATTATCTTCCGTCATGGAACAAACCGTCATCGCTTTCGCAACTCCACTTCATAACTTTGAAGTCGTAGATAACTTCGTCTTACTTGGAAACAGCATTAACAAAAACAACATTGTCAGCCTGCGAATCCAACGCAGAATCACTATTTCTAAAAGGTAGTACTTTGGACTGAGTAGGTAATTGAAAAGTAAAGTCCTCTCTCGACGAACAAAGATCAAACACTACAAAAAGCTCTTCGTTCCCGTCCTGCTATGTGATACGGAGGCATGTACGATGGCAATATCTGATTAGTTGGCGTTAGGAATTTTCGAGAGAATAGTTTTGCGTAAGATTTACGGTCCTCTACTATTTGGGAACGGCGAATACCGCAGTCGATGGAATGATGAGATGTATGAGATATACGGCGGCATTGACATAGTTCAGCGAATCAAGAAACAGCGGCTTCGCTGGCTAGATCATGTGATACTCCAGCTTTGAAAGTTTTCGATGCAGTACCCGCCCTTGGCAGCAGAGGAATAGAGAGACATTGTAAAGACCAGGTAGAGGGCGACCTGGCTCTACTTGGCATCTCCAATTGGCGCCAAGCAACGAAAAAAAGGAATGAATGGCACAATGTTATAAATTCGGCTATAATCGCGTAAGCGGTGCTATTATGAATAGTTGGCCGCAATATCTCATATGTACTTATAAGGCACTATTGATCGCAGTGAATGAACGACTAAAGCCCGACGCAAACGAACTATTTGGACCTAATCAAAATGAACTTAAACCAGATAAATTCAGTTGCATTAAATATTGGAAAGGCCAATTAAATATCGATGACCATTCACTAGACTTTAAAGCTACCTTCGGCAAACTGATTCGAAAGTGTAGGCTGATGTTAAACAATACCTTTCTTGGACATCAACCAGTGGGACACTGGCACCCTAGAAATTAAGGGATGCGACATTTCTGGTGCATGTCCTTAAATCATAGTCCTTAATAAGGTTGCTGTGGTCAAAAGGGAGGTCTCTTATCCGAGGCGTTTTTACGTTTTCTATTGTAGCTGGTCTCCATGTAGCGGGATCGCTAGGCGAGTAAGTTTAAATGTAGCACATATCTATATCGCTTCAAGACCAACGCCTACTTTCAATCGCTCCTCTGGTGGACAGTTGCTCTAATTAGACATCAGGGAATCCTTAAACCGAAAATGTCGAAGGGGTGTCACTGAAGTTTTCTTTCGTTTAGCGGTTACCTACACGGCTTGGTTACCGTATCTTATACAAGGGGTAATCAGGTTTCCAGAGTGCGCGAAGTGGACGCAAGAGTGGCAATTAAATGTAGCGACTGTAGCAGAATATCTAGAAGCTTGAATATACCCCATTACTAAATTGCTAAATGGTTGAAAAACTCTCGAATCTATTCCAATGAAACGGAGTCTGTTAAAATTTATTTCAGTTGAAGCGAATAACCTATCCGTCCGTAATTCTCAATAATGTATACCTACCACAAATCAACGAGACTAAATATTTTGAAATACACCTGGAGAGAAGCTCATTTAGAGAACACACATATTTACAAAAAGTTAGTCTCTCAGTTCAGAAATGAGAAAATCGTACTGGCTTATAAAACAACTGGCATCAGGCTGTAGGAAACAGCAGTTGACTCTAACATATAAATTCTCTAAGAATTCAATCGAGAGCCCTCAGAATGACGACCTACTCCACAGAGGCATCAGTAAGCTGAAGAGAAAGTCAATAACTGATATACAGTAATTATTAACGGAAGATTTTTTATACAAAATGGTTGAGCCAATTGGCGCGTTTTAACAGTGTTGTTAGATAGTTTAAGGTGAAGTTATAAAGATTTCTAACTGCTGGATGTTCTGAAAAAAAATTTGGTTCCAAACGAGGACCAGACGAAGAAGTCTTGCGAGTGGCTTAAGCATTTGAATGCTGATTAAAAAAAAACAGCTGCCAAATTAAATAGGCATGACACAGCCAAATGCCGGCATATGCAGATGACATTGACATCATTGGCCTCAACAATCGAAAGTTCTGACTTCTACAGACTGTATAAGGCAGCGAAACGTGTGGGTCTTATAGCGACTGAGGACAACACGAAATATCTTTTGTCATCAAAAAACAGTCAAAGCACGTTCGCTTATGATCTCTCTCGATAAACAAAGAACATGCAAACTACTATCGTCTCCGATCCACTTTATGACAGAAGCGTAAACATTGACAAATTCCGCTTTAGCAGTTTTCGGCAGAAATGATTTGCGTAAGATTTATTGTCGTCTTCGTATGGACGGCGGCGAATACCGATAAGGTGTATGAAATATGCGGTGAGATTTCCATAGCAAAACGAATTAAAAGACATTGATTTGGTATTTCCAACGAATGGCTAAGAGAACTTTCATCATATTGCAAACTACTAATTCCGGTTGTCACTGCAAAGCTGGTAGTTGACAGTGAAAGCTACTGCATGTACTTTATCAGTCTTTAGGTGATGTACCGTGAGTTAGAACAGCGAACTGTACTCGTGTACCGTGTTTCCAACGTGTTGTGGTTGCTAGTTTGTGATATCAAGCAGCCTCAAATAGCCTCAAGTGATCTTTGCAAATCATTACGCCGATTGCATAGCTCGTTCTCGTTGAAAACAAAGGTTTTAAAAGCTTTTGAACTGTTTATTTGGTTTTTGTGTCTGCCTTAATTACGTATTTCTTCTTTCTCCTATTTTCATAGCAATCGATACCACTTCGTCTCACGATAGAGTACCGACGAGGCGTGTTTTGTAATCGATTGTAGGGCTGTAAAAAAAATCCTGTGCATTTAAAAACGCAAAGTTTCCTTGGAACACAGGCTCAAATAAAAAAGCTGCATATGTACATATATGTTTTCGATTATTGTTTTTAGATTTGAAACTGGAGTTAGAGACCATCGCGTTTAAAAAAATTAAATCAACCTTTGTCGGTTTGGCCATAGTTAATTCGTTAGTTGGTTTAACAGATTGCTTGATCGCGGAACCCTGATCAAGCACACTTAGACCTACTGGCCTGTTGTGATACCTATGTTGATCCTGCTCAAACCATTTGGTGCGTTTTTTGAAATCCAGGGGATTGATGATGTCTACCGATGCAAGCTCTGCAAGACAATAAATGACTAAGACTATAACGGACCGCACTGAGTGCTGATCCTCATGTATGTATGTCCCTGCAGTTTCGGCATAATTCTTTTGAGAAGCTGCCTATCCTTCTACCATGAGTCCCCATAAGACAGTGTTAGGTTATTGCGTTGGTGGTTATGCTTATGGCGGTCCGGCTTAAAAGGAGTACTGTTTACTTCTGTTTACCTCCATTAATGGCCAGATTTGTCTTGCCACATTGTACGTGATTTGCTGTTGGCCCTTCTGGCGAAGGCTATTCTTCGCAAATGCTTTACCAAGGAAAGCGGTAGGCTCACGTAATGTGCAGAGTTCAGCGTAGTTAAGACTATTACTTTGCTTTGCAGTGTGTAGAATACGCATTTCTCTTGGATGTGTCTATGACCAGGAACCCATAACCTACGGGTTCGCGTAAAGTCGAGGGCTTTATTTTATTTTATTGCCGCCTTTGAGCTCGTAAAATTACATTGAAGTAAATTAATAGCTGGCTGTCAGAATATAATGTATTAAAAACGAGCTCCCATGAAGCGGCTTCTGTTACCGCGGTTAATTCCGCTTGGAATGTGCTGCAGCGGTCGGTAAGTCTTCTACTTAATTCCATAGTAAGAGGTTCAGAGTAAACTCCATAACCTACTTTTCCGGGAATGGAAGATGGGATTTTTGTTGTGAAAGTTTTGTTGAAACAGAAGTCCGAGGTGGTTTAGTCCACCGCTCTCAAGAGTGGTGGAGAGCGTGCGTCCAATTCAGTTCCTCCATGGTTGAGTTGTTTTTAGCCCAATGGCGTAGCAGCTCGCGTTGAGTGTCCGGTATGGGTCTGTCGAAGGAAGATTAAGCAGAATTTCAAGAGGCTCCCGTAATAACCAGACTGTGACTCCGTAGAATAATATGGGTCTTATTAGCGCTTCATCTCTTACCGATCGCCGCTTTGCACCGTGTTTCAGCTCCATATGAGTTTGCTTTTTAAGATTATGATTGGGTATTTAACATCAGTAGAAAGAGCGATCTCGCTGCACCAGCTACTTAATATGTTAAGGGCATTTAGGAGCAAGTCACGAAGAATCTGGAGGTGTTTACCAGCGGGTGTAAAGGCAATGTTGTCAGTTTGAACAAAAATACTATACAGGTCGTAGCCGCCAAAATGAAGACTAAACATCGAAATTTAAATTAATTATAATTAACAACTGCGCTCTTACCTTGTCTTTGAAAATATACCATTTTTACCTTGTTTTTAATTGACTAATATATTTTTAGCGGGGACAATTATTTTTCCTGATCAGCTAAACAGTTTCGCAACATCTGGCGGGAGAAGCAAACGTGCTACGGAACGGTTAACGTCTCGTGATGAGCCCAATACCGATATTACCAGTCGATTCGGTAATAACAATGTGAACGCTTCTTATATTCCATACAACAACGTGCCCATGGGTGCGACTCATTATAAGGGCCGTTTATTTGTGACAATGCCTCGTCGGCGGATCGGAATACCGTCCACGCTAAATTACATCGATTTACATAAGGATGGTAAGCAGCACAGTCCGAAACTGCATGCGTATCCCGATTTCGAAACAAATTATCTAAATGTAAGGGCAAGAGATTTTCATTCAAAATTTACTTTTATTGCGTTCCGACTATTCACTCGTACATATAACACCTTGCAATCACCTATTTCAGCCAAACTTCCAGCCGAACCCCAATCGTATCGTTTCGGTTTACCGCACTACGGTGGACGCTTGTAAGCGACTCTGGTTCATCGATACGGGCATGCTTGAGTATCCCGGTAAATTTGAAATTTAATATCAATTTTAAGCCGGATGAGTTAGATGTTCCGTTTTGTTTATATATTTTTTTTTTTTATAGACAATCGCGTGCAGATCCAGAGGCCTGCAATTTGGGTGATTGATTTGACGAACGATCGTGTTTTGCACCGTTATGAGATCCCCGACAGTATCGTTAGTACGGGGCGCGGTCTTGCCAGCATAACCATAGATGTTTTCGCACGCGAATGCAATGATGCCTTTGCTTATATACCGGATTTGGTTAATCGACAACTATTCGTATTTAGGTAATATACCATCCACAACTCACCAACCCTTAAACTTCTATGCGATTTTACTTTCTCTCGTAAAGATAAACAGGCACGTAGTCCCTCTTATCTAGATTCCGATAGAATGTTTCGTCTTGCCGGCCTTAGTCTGATGAAAATCTTAGCTTGCGTGGGAGAACAATCGTTCTACTTGAATAATCCTCTCTTAATATTGAGGTTGAAATCTTCATAAAAAATTACGATGGAGAAAATGTAGACAAATACTAATCGGAAAGTGGTTCTTTAGGGACTGGATCCTGTTTCGGACTTGGCATTCTCTTAAAGCAAATAGCTTTTTTTGTCAGATCTTCCATTAAAGAAACTTCGTACCGACAAAAAACACCTGTTAGTTGTATTCGGTTTATAGACTCCATATGTGCTGAAAACCATCTTTCAGATTCAACAATTTTCTTCTTCTTCTGTACTGGCTTCCCTGCCTGGTCTTTCCAGGAGTGGAGATCTCTTCCTCATCTGTTTCCACCGGCGGGTACTGCATCGAAAACTTTCAAAGCTGAAGTATTCTTATCCATTCGTACCACTGAAGCACTGATGTATGTCAATGTCGAATATAGCACTGTTAGGTCTAGTTCTATTAGTCCAGGATTTTTGTCTCCAAAATGTTTGTCTAAAATAAGTTTTGGTAGTCTCAACTCAAACGGGAGCACAATGTGGAATGTAGGAATGTTTGATGTAGTTAAGTTAAGTTTGATCATTGTCGGATACAGCGATCAGCGGAGCATCTCGCATTTTACCGAAAGCCGTAAGCGCCATAAGAGGCGACTAAAATCCAATATGTGCCACGACAGGTGGGTCTTTAAGCCGGGAGCGGATATTTAACGGTCAAGGACTATCGCTTACACAAGATTTTCCGAAAACCAATTTGGGGAATACTTTTGTCGTTACAACAGCAACAGCGAATAAAGATTCATAAAGAAAATGCATAAATATGTATGTAGCATAGCATGTACGTAGCGCCTACAATAGCCGAGTGGTTAGCATTGTGTACTGCCATTCGGATGGTCAGGGTTCGAGTTGTGGCTTAACCAACCGTTTGGAGGCGGCTTGGAATAAACGGTAGGCCTTTCCATTTGTTGAAAAAATAACGAGACGCACACCACAGATTGGAGTAGATGCTAGGCCGAAAATCATTTCAGCGGTTACAAGACACCAAATGTTATTACTACGTACATAATTTTCTATATTTTTCGTCCTTTTAGCCTCAAGAGTAAGCGTATGTGGGGTTTCAGTCACAATTATTTCAATTTCGACCCACTCGGTGGCGATCTGAATGTTGGTGGTCAAACCTTCCGCTGGGATGATGGCATATTCTCGATTACACTTGGACCATATGCAACCGATGGTTATCGTGCGGTATACTTCCATCCCATGGCTAGTAATACAGAATTCGTGGTCGATAGTAGTGTGCTACAGAATGAAGCGAATGCTGCGCGTAGCGATCATGGCAATGATTTCCAGGTGTTGGGCAGTAGGGGCACAAATCATCAATCCACTATGCATGAGTATGATCCACAGACGGATGTCATTTTCTATGCAGAAATACAACGAAACGGTGTTGGTTGTTGGAATACAAATAAACCATTTTCTGCAGCAAATCATGGTGTTGTGGCGCAGGATGCTCAGCGTATGATATACCCAAGTGACTTGACGGTGCGTTGATTTGTTTTGATTGATGCGCTGAAGTTATTAATTTTTTTTATGTTTATTTACTCAGATTGACGATGATGGCAATATTTGGGTGATGACCAATTCTATGCCGATATTCATATATTCAACACTTGATACAAATATAGTGAATTTCCGTGTATGGCGACAAAATGTTTTTGAAGCAGCAAAGAAAACTGTCTGTGCACCTGCTTAAATGCATTAAAGATGAGTTGGATAATGTAAGCTGACGAACGATATTTTTTTTTTTGTAAAATTGAGTATATTTTATTTTCATTATTTCAAATTTAAACAAAAAACGTACAAAAAATGTGTAAATAAAAATTATATGTGATTATGATGATTTCAAGAGATTAAATATACAAAAAAGTTTATCACGTTGTCCATATGCGATTAACTAAAATTACAGGCACTATAATATTGCATGACAATTTTAGATTTTTCAATATATTATAAAATATCAAAATTACTTTTTTTTAAGAACGCAGTTGGTTGTTCTTATTAAATAAAAAAGAAAATACTTTAAAACGAATGTGTTATTTTTTTGCCTAAAATGTTTTTTTTTTGTTTGTTTGTTTAATTACTTACTTATGTAAATAGCAACCAGTTTTAATGATTTTGAAAAATTTTCTTATACAATAAATATTATAAATTCCAACCTATTTAAGAAGTAGTATGCACTTGGTTATTAAGAGATTATAAATTTGCAAAAATACATGTGTTGGCATGTATGATTTCATATACATACATATGTATGCATATATGCAAGGATAGTTATATATAATATAATGTACGTAGATATATGAATGTCTCTATCACTTGTTTTTTATATGTATATGAATGTATATATGTATGTACTAATTTAATGGCTAAAGTGACTGGTAAACCTCCTTCAAATATGTCTTTTATAAATGGAATTTTTACAATCGTATTTCGATTGTTTGCTTCTCTACTTCTTTACTTATAATAATGAACGGCATACAATTCCAGTATATGATTGCTTGATAATATTCCTGCCAGCCGACTTGCGACTTTAATTTCAGCATTTCTTTTGCCCTCATTACTTTTGAAGTTAAATTTGGGTATCGCTGTTGTATTCAATATATTTACAAAATAGGTCCTTAAACTCTTATTTATGTATAAGAGCACATAATTTATTAAGCTAGGTAGTAAACGTTTCAATAAAGGTTATATTGGTTATATTCGTGCAGTTAAAGTCGAAAATTTTGATAAACTACTTAGTGAATGCCAAAGTTCATTAACAAACCAGAGATTATATTTTAAATATACTAGTTTTTGCAACTTCCTTAGTAAATGAGATTAAAAGGGCAAAATTTTGTGTGCTACCAAAACCAGATACCCGAAATGACGTATACTCGTATATTACACTATTGTACAAGGTAATCCTTGTAGCCACGTAAAGATTTTAACTGTTTTTTTAATTTCGTAATTAGATCTGATGGTTGCACTAAGATTGATATATCGCGACCAACAGAATTCAAGCGATCGCGTATCTCGTTTTCTTTGAAGTATAAATTCAACGGACGTCCATTGATTTCCGTAAGTACCCAAAATGTAAGTGTTGTGCCATCGCAAGATTGTGCCTGGAAAATAAAGAAAATATATAGTTTATATACATATATATAAGAAAGTGATGTGCTGTCATTGCAGCAGTTCGATAACCTCGCTTAAGAGCAAGCTAGATCTGTCTAAATCATCGAGGTCATCTAACAGGAGCTGTTTCGACGGGTTCGGACCAGAGAGAAAGGGGAGTTAGATGAGTTGGTTTCTAGGGGGCTTGCAAAGAGGTGGTTAGTGTCGTGCGGGGATTAATTTCGTGCGGGACATTCGTTGGGTACATCGGATTTAAGTTTGGAGAGGTATCAGTTTTGTCTACCCCAATATCCAGATCTATGTTGCGCCAGTATTACGCGGAACTCTCAAGCTCCACTTTCACTGGAGAGGAAGCTCAGGAAGGTTTTAACGGACTCTCGATGAATGGTGATTGAGGTCTGTCGACACGCCGTTCTGTCAAGTGGTTTTCGACTATGCTGCTGAATAGAATCGATATAGTTTAGTACTCCCTTGGGGTGCTTCCTACGTTAGCAATCCAGCAGATATTACTTATACAGCATAACATTATGCTTTTTAATAGCATAAATGCTTTGATGTGCAAGTGATGCTCTGGTAACCGCCCAGATCGGAATAATTCACACAACAGCTGGTTCTACGCACCATAGTCGACCCGGATTTTATTCGGAGCTTCATCCTTTGGGCGACCTAACCTCGTTAAGTCAACAGCTAACAACAAAGTGATGTCAGTTACGATACTTTCAATGTTACGACCGATTTCAATGATTTAGCACCAAAATACGGTCTTTTTGAGGACCAAATAACGGTCTTTTTGAGGTATAAAAAAATTTTAATTATGTTTATGGTTCAGTTTGGTTGAGTTTTTGTAGGTGTCTTATATAAATTATATTATTTTGATTTCATAGCATAATTGTGACGTCACAGCTCACACGTGTTTTTTCATTACTCAAAGAATTTTTTGTTTTAAATGCTTTTAATGGTACGAAATGTTGATTATATACTTTTTGAAAATAAAATGCCACAACGAGTGTGCAATAAAAATATTATTTTAAATGAATTTGTATTCATTAAATTACTTTTCTAATGCATTCGATCTTTCATCACTAACACACTAAGATTTTTATTTTTTTCTACCATTGATATATGTGTGTACATTAGTCTAAATAGCACTTTTCATTCCCAGAAATAGAACAGAGTATTTATTTAGATTTTAAAAGCGACAAACCGACTATATCTGATATGCATCTTATATATAGACAAACGTACATAGTTAGATCAATTATAAAATGGAAAATTTAATATTTTGTTTTAGTTGCAGTTTAATTAGGAATTTCCAATATTCTTTGCTTATCACTTCTTTCTTTATAATGCAATTATAAAATCTAAAATAAACAAAATACATAGAACCACAAAAACACCAATCATGTGATTTTTTTAGATTATTAATTTATATAAAAAATGTCGTTAATTTTTCTAATTGCAGTCGCCCCTTTGGCTGGGAATGTGGACCTCTCTGAGTGAATTTACGACATGAAATATAATCTAAATTTCTTAAAACTAAAGGCATCGCCAGACGTAGCAATTTGAAATCAAATTGTATTTTATTTCTGAAATAATTTTAAATTGAATCGCAGAAACAGTTTTCAGGATGGTAATACGTAGAAATCAAAATTTTTTGACAGCAAACTTCGCGAAAATTGCCACCACTGATGGCTCCTTTCAAAGTATAAGAGGCCTTTAAAGTGGGCGGATTGTATTTTGATGGCTCTTGAATATTACACAGAGCGGAGCAAATCAGCACAGCTTGATGCTCTAAGTTATTATAGTCTATTGCAATATTTTTGTCGGCCTCCAAAGTGGTGTCTTTAGATTTAACTAAATGAATTTCCAATAAGAGGTGTTATTTTGATATTCAAAGATACCTTGTGCAGATCAATACCATCTAATTCCGGACCATAAAAATCATTAATCATCTCCCGACAGCACAATCCATTTATTTTATAAAAAATAAGTAAGTAAAGTTCAAGTGATCCCGCCGGATCATAGACCGCGCCAAACAGTTACGCGATGAGGATGCAATAAATCATGGGTTTTCCAAGTACCAGATGTGACAGGTTTGCTTATTGACGTAGCTATCGAAGTCTGATGATGCCCATATGAATCAAGAGGATTTTCCGAATAAAATTTTTCTAGGGAATTTTAATAAATTCAATGCGTTGTTGAAGCGTGTATCGTTCCATTTTTTTTATATACGTAGTTTTTACTTGTCAAATGTCAAGTCTAGCGGACTAGCAGGCTATTCAAAATAACAGCTCTTATTGGAAACCCCTTTACTTAATCTTTTTTCAAATGTGGCATTAATACATTTAAAAAAGCTGAACATATTATCTACATATGTATACATGTGATTGAAAGTTATAGCGACGCGAATTAAATTTACTTTTAACTAACGAGAGTTTACCTTTGGTGGAAGTCCATGTCGTGCCGCTAAGCTATTTGGCACTACATCCACAATGGTCGCAGTGTTGCCGTCACGTATTAAACCTAGACATTGACCCTCACGTTCACGTCGTATGGCATAGCCACGACCGAAGGGAATGCGACGCACGAGCACCTCTACCTGTATAAACAAAAACAATACTTATTATAATGCAGTTAAAAACAATTTGGTATTAACTCACAAAAAGTGTGTTGGTATTGCGTATAATTTTATTAGCTTCATTTGCTGTAGTAACCGCTGTACCAGCAATGGATAGCAATTGATCACCAATATGTAAAGCATTATAGAGCACCGGGTGTTCCTTCTGCTTCCAACCAGCCACCCTAATGTAAAGAGAAACACACAAAATATAATACTTTTTATTTGACAGTCACTATAACTTCTAGCGTCTTACCACACAGCACCAAATGCGTCCACCCACGCAATGGAACCCACACAATCCTTTCGACGCAGCTGCAGTCGAACGCCACCAGGATGCATGATCTCCCGCCGTAGCTGCATAACTTGATGCTCGCGCAGTGTCATACGTTTGTTAGACGGTGAGTTATTAACACCATTGGGTGGCGGCAACGGCGATGATAAGCCAATATTGCTGCCATTTCCACTAGCGCCTCCATTTAAGGGGCCATTTTCAACACTACGAAAGGGCTGAGGTGGATGTTGAAAGCGTAACCCGGTGTTACGTCCACCTGGCAGTTCATTATTGTTGGCACCGCGCGCGTCCGATGTTGATGAGCTACGACGACGTTGCTCTAACAAATCGCAATTGCGACTACGACCGTTGTGCGGTGCATTCGAGCTGCTGGCGGCGTTTGTTGACGGCTGCGATGTGGATGTATTGTCGGCATTATTGTTCGAAGTAACTGTTGAAGTACTTTTACTACCAATAACTGCAGCCGGTTTATCTTTTCCTGCAGACGCTTTAAATAAATGAAAATCTCTACGACTTGGACGTGTCGTTATCACAGCTTCAGTAAGACCGCGTGTTAGCAAATGACTACGACTAGGCAAAGGGTGAGGCGTAGGAGTTGTCGTGGTAGCACCGGTATGTTGTGCCGTTGGTGGTGGTGATGATGTAACGGTTCGCGTTAAGAGATTTGCAGATGTTGCGATACGCCGACGTTCCGCCACTGGACTCGCTTGGATCGGTTGTTGCACCCGGCTCATTAATGGCGATTGCATGCCTTTATGACGGCTTTTATGTGGAACCGATGGCATATCTACATGTGGTGTAGCCGAGGGGCTCATAGTGCGGGTTGCTGGTGTGGGTTTAATTGGCTTGCGTGTTTCAGTTAGTGGCATTGGGGAAGATGGCTTTGAGGTCCGATCGCTCTCTGTTTTACAAGATGAACCTTGAACAGCCTTTAAAAAACAGAAAGAACATGTTAACGGTTTTGTGGTTATATATGTATGTAACTAAAAAAGGATTTACCTCAACGGTCATATGAGTAGAGCAATTACCAATTAAATTGGATGAGTGCGACGCTGCTGTGGTTATTACAGTACTAATTGGGGCGACTTTTGATCCAACAATGCTTACTTCGGGCGTTGCACTGGTCGAAAGAAAGACTTTTTCATAGTGCATAGATCCAGCATTATGTTTGACATTGGTATCCGCTGCGGCATTAGGTCTCTCCAGTCTGTTCGCGGTGCTTGTGTTATTTACCGTTATGTTTGTTATGCCCGTTGTATTGGCTGAAAGTATGATTTTCTTCGTCATTTTCGGTGTCCCACTATTGGTGGCCTCTTTAGGGGGTTGTGAGTTAGTAACAGATGATGTTGGGGTGTAGCATGTGCCATATAAAGACACACCACTTGCGTTCACGTTTTGAACCGCTTCTGCTGCAATAGTAGCCGCTGTGGGGGTATTACCGCAAACATGTACCGTTGTTACTTTAAGCTCATCCGCCGGCAAAGTGACTGTGGAAGGTGTTGTTGTTGTTGTTGCGGTTATATTATTATGATTAGCTCTCTTCACTGGTGTCGCATACTGGGTTGTGGACGGCACTGTTGCGGTTGCTTTAGTGCCGAGTACCTGAATTGTACTACTGTTTGATTTTGTGGACGGAATAATTTGCACATTACTTTTGTACTCGTTTTGTACAGCTTCGGGGAACTTGAAAATATCACCCGTAACACGTTTACTAGCCACTTTAGCACTGGTTTTCGTTTCGTTTTCCTGTTTACGATCATTTACATCGTTGGTTGATACTTGTATGATGGTAATATTCATTTTATCAACATCTATCTGCTCTAAAGGTTCACTCTTGGCGGAGGAAACGGTTTTATTTTGCCATGACTCTGATTGAGGCTCTGTGCTAATCTCCAGCGCTGTAACATTATCATTACTCGCAGTAGTGGAGGTGTTGAGTGCTATGGGCGATCTTGTAACATCTTTGCGACATGAGTCGGCAGCACCAGCCGACAACGAACGAGATGTTTGCAGTCTATGGAAAAAAAGAATACCAAAATTGTTTATTACATTGCCGATTATTACTGACAGTTACAGAGAATGAGCTGCGAGGACCTATGCAAGCCCCACACTTTCGCTGAGTTCTCATATATATACAAGTATATATATTATACATATATATATATGTAATTGCCGCTTTGTAACCCCTGAAGCGATTTTCGACCGAGCTCCTTCTCTGATTTGTGTCTTGATTTTTTCCAACAAATGGAGGGTGAAACAGTTTATACTAAGCCGCCTCCGGCTGAGGAGTTATTTTCCTTGCCAGAAGTACACGCCGAGGGGCGACCGCAATTAGAAAATTTAAAATAATTTTCTATAACTTTCAGATGTTGAACAATGGTCTTCCGAATGGCACTAGGCAATGGTAACCACTCGGCTACCGCGGCCGCCTCAGTTTGCAGTAAAATATCTTCTGAGTTTGGTTGGTTTTAGTGGGCAAGCAAAGTGACTCATCGTATGCAAGACATACGCTAAGTATGTTAATAAGTAGGAGTCTATTACATCCACATCCAGTATTACTCGGGTCTCGTGAGGCAGTTCGACTCCTTCGTCAACTTTCAACCCAGATCAGAATCAGCACAGTTTCGAGGTCATCACGTCGATTCATCCATAACCACTCAGTTTTCTCACCTATGCTGACATTCTAAAGTAATATCTCCGCTGCCGCTACCTTCTCGATCGACCCATAGAGTTCGCTGCATCTGAATTGAAGGAATTAAGCCAATATTTTTTTTTTTACTTTTATACCAAACACCGGAAGGGCCGTACTCTATCGTAGAAACACAATTGCGGATGCATATCTGCCTATTTTTTTTTAACTAACTAACCCTTTTAATTTTCAAAAGATTTCAAATACTCATTGAATGTTCAAATAACGTTTTAACGAAAGAAAATAGAGGGAAGAGATATATTTTTGAACAAAAACGAAAGAAATTCACGAAATAATGTACGAGGCTTCGCTTTATAGCAATGAGAGCAGCGAATATGAGCTAAACGCTGAAACATTGGATCAATTGTATAAGGAGCAATTGCAGATGTTACGGGAACTTGTCTTCAAACAGAGTCACACGCATGACATTGAGCTGTGTCGCAAATGGCTTAAGATATTTAGCAAGACTAGTAAAGGCGAGAAAATGGCGAGAAATTGTTTGTGTTCATTGATGCAACAACAGTTACAGGAGCAGGGTGTATTGAGCGAACCATTTACGAATTTACAAAACGGCAACCGAGACTTGGAGCGTGTACTGCTCGAACTCGACGAACAAAGCTACATAAGTGCCAATTATATGCAAAGAACACAACGAAGTTCGAGTACCTATGTTTCCCACGATCAGGATAATCAATGCAAACATAATCACTGCAGACCAAAGCAGCGGTTAAATCATCAGATGAATTCCAATACACCTCAAGCTAGGCAGAGTTGGTATGAAAATGATGGAGGTGGAGATTGTGCTGACGTTGGTGGTGATAGAACTAATGTTGGACTTAAAGCCAATTACAATTATGATAATGAGTTTCTAAATAAGCAAGGAGTTTATGCTGAAAATCAAAATGATGATCGCGCTGGTGGCGATACCATAAAACTTGATGAGTTGTCTACGGAATGCGAGGAAAATGAAAAACTCACCGAAAATCTATTACTCCGACGTGAGTTAGAGACTTTGCGTTTGCAGTTTACAGAGAAAGAAATCGAAAATATACGTCTAAAGGAGTTAGCAGAGAAATATCAAATGGAGAATTCTAATTACCAAAATGCATTGGAGGGCCTTCACAACAATTTACTGCAATCGGTCAAACTGGCGCTCCAACATTGGAGCGCTGATGAGCAACCAACATTTCCTATGAAATTATTCGAATTATTATTCAAGGATTTCGAAACTAATTTAGATTTTTTTCAATCCATAAAGAGATGTGATGTTGAATTCGGGCATATAATGGCAAAACGTTTCGAAAATGAATTATGTAAGCGTAAGGCAAAAATGGCAAGCCATATTAGTCGAAAAATGGTTAAAGGTAAAAAGCGAATTCAAGAGAAATATGAACAACGTTTGCGTATGCAAAATTGGGCACAACGATTGCAATTGAAATTGGTGAAACTCAAGTGCTTTTCCGCATTAAGGCAAATATTCATAAATGCCCAATTAGATAAAGATGAGACGGGTATGAATAACAGAATGTGGGAACTATTGCGAAATTTGGAAGAGAAATATCAAGCCATTGTAAATGAAATAATTTAGAATTTGAAATATTAACTTAGTTTAATTACAGGAAAAACTTCTTTTTAAAGAACAAATAGATGCTATTACTCTGTTTAATAAGATCTAGAGGGGAAATCTAGGTGCAAGCCGTGTTCTAATCGAATATTCTTTCTCTATAAAGATATTTATCATATTCACATGTTTATGTAAGTTTTTCATTAAGATATAACGATGATTGTTATTTTGAGTCTGAAACCAATTTAAAATGCGATCATAGTCTTTTGGTCTCTTAACGACTTCTAGCCATTTTCGGTAATCCACAGACAAACAATATTATTGTAAGATCTCAAGGAAGGAATTCAGGAAATGTTCCAATAAGAACATGGTTTTTTTTTTACATACCTGGGTGACACATTCGTTTCTGTATGCACTAGGCTTTCCCAATTTTTAATTTGATCTGAAACGATAAAAATAATACAAAAATATTTTAACAAGAAAGTAAAGAAAAATATATTGTAAAACCCACCAGCAGAAACGCGTTGTGCAACATCTACGCGAACGCTATTAGCAGCACTTGTTGTAGGGCCATTTTCGTGCCTTTGTACATTTTTTCTTAAAATAGGGGAAAGAAACTCGTCATTGAAATCTACATCGTTTGCTTCATCAAAAAAGTTATTGTCTTCTATATCATTTATTTGCTCGCTATATGCGCTAATAGGATCAGATAGCATATTTAGCAAATTTTGTGTTAGAGTATTAGACATGGCAGTAAGTGCGGGTGATAGCATCGCTTGAGGAGTTACGGTTGGAATGTGTGATGTATTGCTGTTTGTGCTCGTTAAATTGCCAACAGCATTAATCACTCTATTAGTATTATTTGTGCTGGAGTTTGCTGTTGATGTCACCATTTGTTCTATTGGTGTTGTTGTGGCTGCGGTTGTAATAGTTTGTCTTTCTGGACGTGCTTCATTGGCAGAATTGTCTTGTATCACACTTAAGGGCACCACACGTTCTACACCTGGTACTATTGCAGCTGGTACCGGCGGTGGTGCAGGAAGCGGAGATGTCGGATCACGGGTGGGCAAAAGCGGTGCCCGAATTTCAGGTAGTTTTGTGTAGAGATTTTCCCGTGGCGAAAGAATTTTCATTTCACGTAGTTTCGAACGCAAAGTCTCTACCCATTCTTGCATAATTTCCCTGCAAAATGAAAACATAAATTTTATTTTATATCAACACAAAGTATGTGACAAACAAAACTATTAATCAAGACAACACATAAGTTAATGTATTTAGGTATATGCTAACATAACTGCGGCTGTTAATGCTCAACGAGTTGCAAAACATAATTCATTACATTACATTACGCGCGTACATTGAGTAATGTGTGCAACCTACCATGACATTGCATGGAAGCGTATCACTTCATTAGCAAGCGTGACGACAAACTCGAATTCGTGCGAATTTGGAATTAGTGCATGTGAAATGTGCAAAGTGTCCTGCATCGAAACAACCCACTCGGGCATATGAGCGGCAGCCTGGCGTGGCTCAGCGTAGCCCTCTAAAAGTGCATCGGTGTCATCGTGGACGCAGAAAACAACCCAACTGCGATCAGATTTCTGAAAACGGTTTTTTAATTATATTAACTGCAATTATATTACAAATAAAATACACATACTTTTGGTCCCACAGTGATTTTTTTACCCTCTGCTGTCAGTCTTTTAAGCCAAGTGTTTTTATGTATTTCTCGAAATTGCGCAGCGTTTGCATTAGTTAAAGTTGCACTCCCTCCTGCTCCACTACTTCCACCGCCACTTAATGTGCTAGCAGAAGATGAAGCTGTGGCACCTGCCACAGTTGCAGCTGCCAATGTAGATGTTGTAGCCATTACAAAGCAAATGTAATATACCAATATCAATGCAAATCACTTGTACACATTAAAATTTCTTCAACGCTGCACCGTAAATTTCACGACAGAAAATATATAATTTAAATTATTAGCTACGCCAATTACAAAATCACAAGACTTTCTTCGTGTATTACTTGTGATACTCTTTTCGCTCACTCACAGCAGTGGCTGGATAACCGAACAAAAAAATGGTGCAAAATAATTTTCACACCTATCAATAGAACTATGAAATTTTTATTGTGCAATGTCGTCTCTGCATTTGTTTATAATTTGAACTAATTAGAAACATCATTAAACACTGCCACCAACACCTGCTTGTGCTGCTGACGCCAACGTCACAGTCGTTGCGTTTGTTGTCGCCGCTTTGTCTGTCAAAACGCTGCTTGCGTGCTCCTGTTTTCACATACACTCCTCTTCCCGTTTTTCGTTATCTGACAGCAATAAAATTTGCAAACAATTTCTACTGATTCACGGCGCACATAACTACATTGTTATTCTACTGAACAATTTTCGTAGCGTTGGATACACTTTTGTGAGACGTACAAAAATTATGAAGCATTTTAAATGTGAAAAAAAGTAATTGGAACTACTAGAGCCATTAAAAAATATATTAATTGCATGACGCCATGTTTGCACTGCACTATGAAACGTCAAATTTTATGCGTTGCCAACTATAAAACCAAAACACGGCTGCCTGATCGGAAAAAAGTATGTTATTACAGAGAACGTATTTTAGAGAACGTACGGTCTTTTTATTTCAAACAAAGAACGTATATGAACAAAGAAATTCACATACGTTCTTTGGTATGCAAAAAGGAATATCCGGGCAAGGAACATATTGTTGCGAAAATGCGAGGCGAATGTCAGATGAAAGAGAGAAGCCGATAAATAGTACGTTCTAGAAACGATAAAACAAGAACCTTCCATAGCGAACAATTCGATGCTTCTACGCTTTCGTCTGCGAGCAGCCGACTGCTATATAAAGGCGACACTCAGCTGCAAGTCAAGTTAGTGATAAAGTAAACTCGTTGGCGTTAACATCAGTGAAGACGTAAAGTGAACGCGTTGGGAATTACATTTAAGTAGAGTAAATTGTGAAAGTTGATGTTAGTGATTATAAATAGTAAAGTGCAGTATAATTGAATTGTGAATTACTGAGAAAGTAAAGGACATTAGATAATATCCGTAAACGAAAGAAACTGCAAATTAAGTTGGCGAGTTTTTATTTAACAATCCAGAGATCGTACCCGAAGGATTCGGAAAATAATCGAGGTTGATTTAGTAAAATCGTAACAATATGTTCCCATACGTTCTTTCATTCGAATTTTAATTCATTTACATTTTTCTAAGCCCGGAGCTAATAAATTGAAGCAAAATCAAGTTTTCCCTTCAAAGCTTATCAAAACAAAACCGTAATTGTAAGAAAAGTAGATTATGTGTGAATTGTACTGAAAATTGGGAAAAGACCTAGATGTTCAAAAAAGGTCCTTTGATTTGATTTGAGCAGCCTCTTTTTTCATGGTGTTCGATGCAGTCCTATGGTATGATTTATTAAGGAAAAGATTCTCCAGCAAATAAAGTTGGGATATTTCGCCATCATACACTGTTAATAGTAGCTGCAAATGCATTAATGATTCATGTTGTTGTTGTTGTAGCGGTTCGCTAACCCTACTTGGAGTCACGGGGGTCTCTCGAGGCAGCTCGAGTTCGTTGTTTGCTATAGGTGGTGATTTTTTTTAATACTACGTACCGGGGTTGACCCGAAATTTATCCGGCCACAGGCTGTCACCCTTTCGGCGACCTAACCCCGTTTAGGTCAACAGGTAACAATTAATGATTCATGTTGTTGTTGTTGTTGTAGCGGTTCGCTAACCCCGCTGAGGCACATGTTTGATCAGTCTAAGTCGCCGAGGTCATCTAATGATAGGTACAGGAAACGAGCTATTTCGACGGGGTTGGACCAGAGGGAGAAGGGGGTTAGATGAGTTGGTTTGAGAGGGCATGTGAAGAGGTGGTTAGTTTCGTGCGGAGACTCTCCACAAGCATAGCATTAATAATTCATAATTTCAAGTGGTTAATTACCCCTCAAGCTCCACTCCCCTCCGACGGAAAAATATGACGTATGGTTTACCCGTGATTTTACAGCGTGAGTGACCAACGATCATTTAGAGCGAAACATTTAAAAAATAATGATATATATTTTAATTGCTATAATACTTTTTATTGAGATTTTATAAATTTTTTATCTTTTTTTTGCTCATTTTTATCTTACAATATTATTTTTTTATTTTTTTTTCTAGTTTTATATCACACATAAAGGTAAATTTTAGTAATTTTTTTGTTCATGTCTTGCAATCTTAATGTGTTTCAATATAGTATATATACAGGTATTTATATACATGTATATGTACTTTTGGAACACTTTGCTAATAACAAACTTTTCAATATTTTTTTTCGTATATATAAATTTTTTTGTTATTTTATGTTTTACGCTTTAGGTCAGTGTACGAGGCTTTCTGTAGAAATACATACATAAAGTTGGAGTTAAATATGTATATATATATTATAATAATTATATAATTATATATATATATATATAGTGCACAGCTAGGCAGAATGTCCTTGGAGGTTTCCAACATTTCTGATTTGCTATTGAGTACTTTTAGTTTTTAATTTTAATAACAGTTCTTCCCAAATAAAGTTATTACAAACTAATAAAATCTTATTGTATTATTATAATCTTCAAAAGTACACAATTATCGTAAAATTCTAGCAATAATTACGTTTAAAAGTTAAGCATAATAAGACGCCTGTTGTATATGTATTCTTGAAATTTTCGACATTACATTTTGACTTTATTAATTTTTTTTCCACATTTTAATTACTTATAATTTCCAGTTCCATTTTATGTATGTATGCCAGTGTAGTTTACATTGAATTTGGTATGCTTAATCAATTAAATATACACAGGAAAATATTACAGTTATGTAATTGAAGATAAAGTATATTTGCAGTTTACGATTGATTTGAAGTGTTTTGAGGCAATTTTAAAAGTAAAATATAACATTTGAAAAACATATATTAAAGTTGATAAGTAGAGCTACATACATGTTGTATATATATTGGAAAAGGATTACATTTTGAATTTTTAAATTTTCTGATTCACTGATTCTGGACTAACAATTTATCATTTTATCACTTATTTAAAACTAGATAAATGTTTTTTTTTCTTTTATAACAAACAAAATATGATCGAAATGCTCTTATACTCGTTTGCATTGTCAATGCAGTATGAGGCAAGAGTCTTGAGTCTGACTCAAATAGTTCGTCTCGATATAATAAGACAGGACAATTTGTAAGCAATATTTTAATGAGGTAATTATGAGAAAAATATATGTACATAAATGTATCTATAAAAAAAGGTTTAAATACCCACAATAAATGAAAATAGCGATTTGTACGTTTGACTTGCAAAAAAACAACTTGCTAAAACATAAGCTTTAAAAATTTATGAAACTAACGCAGGGCAACAAATAGGCAGTTTGGGCAAATTATCGTAGTTTAAGATTGTTTTTAAGCATTTTGCCAGACTTTTAGTAAATTTCTTTATATAGTTCATACGCTTATATTTGTGTGCCTGTATTTCCAAATATTTTGTTGTTGTCCTCTTTCGCTCAACGCATTACAATTAATAGCGAATAAATATTACTCGCATTGCCGCGTACACATAGAGGACGATGCTTCGGTAAGAGTATTAGAATTGTTTAGTTACTTATTTGTTTTGGTTTGAATTTATATGTTTGTATGTATTATTTGGGTCATTACGTACTAATTCATATAATATATGCCGTTGATGCGTTCTGATGGGGAATTTGGTTGAATCGTCGAGTGTTGCACGAGTCTTGGTGGTATACAAGATAGGGTCTACGATGTACCCAGTCCAATGATATGCTTTTGCGGTACAAATTCAGCGGCTAATGGATTGAGAATGGAATGTTCAACGTTGCATTCGCTTACAGCGAGCGAGGATAATGCTGCATTCAACTCTTCAGCTCTATAAGATATATTGAGAGAATCATATATTTAGAAAGTGTTAAATACAGGAAATAAAAAATATAAAGAACAACTAAGATGCCACTGCACATATACAATACTTTTGTAGAAAAATGTAATAAATATATGCGATACACAGAAAAATGTTGAAACAAAATTTAGAGTAAGAAAGAAAAATTTTAATGAAAAAAACCATGCTTTGCAATTTCAATTTTCATACTTTGCTTTCTGCCATTCAGCCAATTCTGCCTCAAGTTCGTCCTCAAGCATTGCTTCAAGGCACTCTTTCATAATGTCCTCTTCCTCGAGACGTTTTAATTCCTTAATACGTGAAGAGTGGTAAACAAATTAGAAAAATGTATTTCTTAGTTCTGACTTATATTTAATTTTATTTAATTTTTTTTTTCAATTTTTGGTTATCAATTATTATTTCATTTTGCTACTCACATTTTTGTCGAACTCCTCTTCATTTTCCATCCACAGATACTCGGAGAAGTCTTGTTCATCTTCTAGATCTGACAGTGACTCATCCTCCTCCACTACATACTCGAATTGGTCAGACCAATCATTTGAAGGAACTTTCAAAATCATTTTGTTTGTCAATTTTTCTTTAACGCTTTTACAACTGTAAAGATAATTGAATAATAAAAATAAACATAATTGTATAAAAAGTCGTCAGTGTTAACATACACACAAATATTTAGAGTAATGAGAGCTTAAAAAATTTCCCAAATATATTTTAGGGATATTTTTTTATAAGAGATAAATATGTTTTAAGGACATCAATATACTTTTTTCCCAAAGTTTTTGAAATAACTAAAATCGGTAAACATATTATTTTTAACCGGAAACATATGCATACATATTTAAAGACATTGATTAGTTTTAAATTATGATAATACAATATGTGTTTGTGATTAGCTTATTATCATAATTATAGTTTCTCAACAATTTCTAAAGACGTGGTTGACAAAAAATTCAAAAGTAATTTTCCGAAGAAAAATTGCAAATTCAGTTTTCGTAATCACTCACTTTGCGACGACTTTTCAAAACAATGTTTCGGCTGCTCATACCAAGAAATTCAAACTTTCGACAACAAAATATATTGCAAAATCTTTTATTTTCACCAGATTTGATAGCCTATTGTTTTGCGTTTTTTCTGTCTATACGTAAATGATACCGGCAAGAGGCGAAAGTTCTTCATAAAAATACGACGCAAAAGCGATATGTGTAAACATACAAACTCGTTTTTTTTATAGTATATTGCACATTTGAGCACACATACTTATATTGTTTTAGGTTTAACTCACTCAAATTATACATAAAGAGCAAGAACTTGATTTGTTTTCTTTTCTTGTTTATCTTGAAGCACCAAAACAAAACTTACCTATGTATGTATGTATGTATGTAAAAATAATATAATTATAAATTGTTTACAAGTACAAAAAAAACCATTAAATCTGTTAACGAAATATTTTAACTGTGAGTGCACACAAGCGCGTATCGCAAACGACTGAATAGCCAAGGAAAGCCAAAATTCTTATTAACTTGAAATGAGCATACTATGCGTCTATATATATAAACATTATGGTCGAACGAATGTATAACGAATATGAAATCGTACAAATATTCCAATGTCTATACATAATAACTTTTAACACGTACGTAAATTAAGAATATGTATAATATATTATGTTTGTATTTATAATTGAACTTGAAATTTATTGAAAAATCACTTTGTAGATCAACTAATGAGATCAATGCAATGCTTTTTAGCTTAAATGCAATGATTTAACTTACTCGACGCTTTATCTTCGGGACACAAAACCCTTGTGTGCGCGAAACGTTCTTGCCTTGTGTTTCAATAAATTCAATTAATGCATTAAATTCGTATATTTAAAAAAAATTAAAACAGCTGCGTAAATAAGAAGTTCAAAAACAGCGTCAGAAGCACATAAACAGATCAAAGCGACTCATATATTAAATTATAAATATTTTTAGCATTTAAAACCACAATACAGAGTGTACGTGTACGTTGTATGCTAATGAACGCTGATATCGACAGATTGATACCGTGACTTGAAGCAAACAAAACGACATTCGGTTTAGTTCAAGAGACGAGTTCATGGATTTCTCCTCTACACAGTGCGGGGTTGTCAGCACAAACCCATGGGGCTAAGCATGTTGTGAAGAAGATGGTAAACGTATATTCTCATCAACGACTATACATATGTATATACCAAGTGGGTACAAGTGTGTGGGTTGGGGTCGATGGTAAATACTTGTTTCCATATGCAGGTATGTACATGCATAGGTAAATGCATCTTCTTGAGGTGTGTATTTGGGAGCAATGGAGAGCGAGAGATTATTGTACTCAATATATGTGCAAAACAACACGAAGAAAATAATAACAACAAAAAATATAAAATAAAAACAATGCAGGACAGACGAGTAGACGAAAACAAAAAGTGACTGAATACATACATATACTTTTATAGTTTTGACATACTCTTACATCAAAAAAAAAAAAAAAAAAAAAAAAAAAAAAAAAAAAAAAAAAAAAAATGACGTACGTTCATGTTAATGAGCAGACTAAATATTTGTATACTTACAACCAACAAGCAAAATGTCTACATAAATGTCACCAATTCAGGTAAACTGTGGTGTTGGTTTTTATGCCACTAATTAAAATTAATATATATACATATAAGCAAACATTATTGAACTTAAAGCTTGTAATCAAATTTTTGTTTACATAAGAGTTTGATTTTTTTCATATATATATGTATATTCATATGCTGTAAGCTTGCTGCTTGTAAGCAGTACGTACATATTTGGAAAAATTTAAAATAACTTCGTTTAAGCGTTAAGCACGAATTTAGCGTGTTTTTTTTTTTTACATTGCATGCATGTTTTTATATTTAGATGAAGTAAAATATTGTATGCACCTCCTCATATAGGTATGTACACGTACATACATATGTTGTATAAGCATTAGGTACCCGGACGTGACTTTTGTGAAAACGCTTCCTTGTTTTACTTCCGCTTAGTTCTCAAGTGTTAGCTAACATTCATTTAAAATTTATTGAAACAAAAGTAGTCAGAATTTTAAAAGAGGGTTATGAATTTTAATGAAATCTAATTAATTTAATGTTTTATTGTGGTTTGTATACATGTTTGTACATATTATATTTGGTGCTTAATGCTTTTTTTTCTAAATTTAAGATTGACAGTATATGAAATCTTAATTAGCATTTTAATTTATCCCATTACGAAAATACATACATATAGGCACAAACTGGCAGATATGCAAGTTACAGGAAGTATAAAGTTTATGCCAAAAGCGAAGGTTGTACCTTCATTAAAGAATTCTGAAATCTATAATCCTCTTATTATTTCAATTTTCTATATGACATGAGTCTACATTGCCACTAAAAGATTCACCCTTTTTCTCTTTGTTCAACATTGCATGAGATTTATTTTATTTTTGCAATGGCAAATAACTTTTTGCGAGAGAAATACAATTAGATTATCATAACTGCACTTGCTAAGTTCAAGAATCCATCAACTAATGGGTACCTAATCAATCCCTGTGTATACATACATACATTTCCTCCATTAAAAACACACAATTTTTAGTAATAAATTACATTTTTCAAATAGAAAGTCGTTTTCTGATATCACAGGAATATGTTTTTCGTTTGCAGAAAAATATAAATAATACCGATACTCGTTGAATTTCTCTACTGACATTTTCACTCAATAACTCATGAAAAAAGTAATCACAATTTTAATCCATAGAAATAAAACGACTTACACCAGAACTTTTGTAAACTGCTTATAGCTGAAATGCCAAACAATAACTGTCCCTTCAAAAAATTCACTGAAAATTTTGCAATAATTCGTTAACACTAGAAATTTATTAAATAAATTATATACAAAAAATTTGACGTCAACACGCACACAAAATCTCTGTAGCTCGTTCCGTTCAGTGTTGGTAGGACGGCAAACTCGACGTAAATTTATTTTGCTACTATACAAGGGTTGCTTGTGTACTTTTTTACAGTGTTGGTACAAAGTACCGTACAAAGTTGTAAAGGTTTGGTAAGTTAACAACTATCTTAACCAAAATTCTTCGGGCTCGATCTCAGCGTTGTTACATAAGAGTCGCCAAATTTTTTATTCAGCTTTTTGATCTTTAAGCACAGTTTACTCCACTTTACTTTACACCAATGTTGCCATACTGTCACTATCGAGTTATATTCCTAATTGAACATGCTACGATGTTGGCTGACATGCGCTCAAGAACAGGTTTTAATTCTTCTAACCCAACATTCGTATTTGATTATAGTGTTGTAACGATTTTATATATTAGCTACTGTTATTTCCCTAATTCTTTGCGTTCGACTTCAGCCACCGAATTTGTTGAACATCTTTAATACTTTACGCAATAACTAACACCGATTTTCGCAATATACAACAAGACGACGAATTATGTAACTGACATGACAGCAGTGTGTCTCTTCGCTCTTATTAACCTACCGATTGCTCGCATACATCTCTAGAAAACTCTGCAGGAATAGTTCTCGATATCAAACGTTCGATTCCTAAAACACGTTTAAGTTATCGATCTCTCTATTCGTAACATCGTATTAATAGTAATTTACCTTGCATAACCGCTTGAGCTAAATTTTCTAATTGCGGTCGCCCCTCGGCAGGAAAGGTCAATTCCTTCGAGTGTATTTCTTACATGAAATAAAGCTTCTCATAAAAAACAATCAGGCGTTCGGAGGCGGCTTAGTAAAAACTGTAGGTTGGTAGAGCTGCTATTCGGCAGTCGATAGATGTTTCTCATTGATCTATAATGAAATCCAGATACATAAAATTACAAAATACAGCAATGTGCATCATCCAGACACGACCAATCCCCGAAAAAAATATAATATACAGACAACATAATCCAGACAAAAAATCCCGAAATAATCGGATGACTTTTTAATTATTACTTTACATTCCTTCCTTTTGCAAGTTTTCGAATTTATTTTATTATATATATATGTATACATTTGTATATAAAACTATATATATAATATTTTCTTTTTCTGATGTTTTATCTGATGTATAGTTGGGATTCTCGAAAATTTACTGGACTGTGTACTGTCTGTGGTTTTATAGTTACGATTACGGAGTGCTCCGTTTCTTTTAGAACTCGAAGAAATATGGAGAACATAACAAACTAATTGTATTGTGTAACGATTTTCGATAAATAAATTCTTCGAGATTTTTGTAAAATTTCTTAATCAACATTAATTTATTACTCGATAAATAACAATTCTTTTTACTATACACGTTACTATTTTCACTTTGAATCGATGTTACCACCAACGAGTTTACTTTGTAACTAACTAACGTCACCGATTGGTCGTACTCAGGTCCGGAAATTTCTAGCGTGGTCTTACAGAATATTGGATAAATGCGTTCTTGAATGTGCTTTAGTTATCGGCTTCTCTTACTCATTTTTCGTACACTGCCTTCCATCTAATTTTGTTAGCCAAGATATCAGATGCAGTTTTATCAAACGTTGCGAATCTCTCCTGTTTCTTGGTCTGCCAATTATCTGGATTCGATACACTATGTTATTCTGCCGTTTATACAAACCATTCCATTTTTACAATGCACACTAACACCAGTCCTCCTGCCCCGCATCTCTTCAATCCTGTAACCTTGTCATATCGGGCTTTTATACTTCTGTTTACTACCTAGGTACGCTGTTCCAAGGGTTCATCTCTATCTCAAGGCTTCCACTTCAGGACACCAGACGTCTTCCTGTCATTCTCGTGGATATTTTCTTTCTGATGCTCGCTCTAGATCAGCAGTCCTTGCTAATTGCTGATTATGGAATATTCTTCTTCAGCCTTGCCTTTTCTGATTTTGTACACTTGTAGGACTGATCTTTTTGGCGGTTGCCACTAAAACTTTCTGCTTTGTAACAATAGGAATATCTACTTTCACACGGTTTGCTTTGTACACAGATCTACACAAGACCGCAGCAGTTTCTCGTGTCTGAGCAAATGAGACACTTTCGCCGATGTGTAGTTTTGGCATTTCGGCATCGAGAAACTGATGGGAAAATCGTTCTATGAGCTTACGGGTAGTAACTCCAGCCACTTTTGACATTTAATGGCTCAATTGATGAAGTTCAAACTCTACAAGGTGCACATCGTTTCTCTCCTGCTAAATGGTGAGGAGGTATGGATGATGATATTATCTGATGAGTCGGTATGAGGAGCTTTCGAGGGAAAAGTTTTGCGTAAGATTTATGATGCTCTACGGGTTGGGAACGGCGAATACCGCAATAGATGGAAGGATGAGATGCACGATATATACGGCGACATTGAATCAAGAAACAGCGGCTGAGGGGGTCTTGTGGTCCGCATGCCTAAAAATACTCCAGCTTTGAAAGTATTCGATGGAGTACCCGCCGGTTCAAGCAAAATAATAGGAAAACCTAGGTAGAGAAGCCTTCTTGTAGGGTTGGAAAATACGACTAATTTTGGTATATTCTTTCGAATATTCAATATTCAAAGAAAAAAGTTTTAAGAACTACGAAATAATAACAATATTTGTTTAACTATTAACAAGAGTTAAAAATTTTACGTGTAGGTATTAATAAAATATAATTTATATGAAAACAAAAAATTTATAAAAATTTAATTAAAATATTTAAAAGGCACAGCATTTTAAACATCTTCAGTAGCAATGACATTGTTCCAAGAGCGCAGCTTCGAGCTGCCAAGTGATCCAAATATCGAGGCCGCTAACACGTAAGATATAATTAATGTAAGTATTACATTATTCCATTCAGTCTTATTGCCCTAAAATTGAAAAAAAATCAATAAGAATTTCGAAATATATGATTGTACTTTTCATTTTAAGCAACATCGATAACTTCAATAGTCGATAGCATTGTCCCCTCAATTACCTGCACGGCTATAGCGGAAATAATGACTGGCGACAGGAAGCCATCAATTGTTGAAAAGGCGTTTGCGATTCCCGACAGTAAACCACTATATGACGGTGTTAAGTGTAATAAACTGGGCCAATAGCCACCCGAAAATGCAGAATCAGTGAAAAATCCCACAAGCAGAATACATATATTAATTAAAATGTGTTGTTTTGCATTCAACAGCATAACGATGACCAGAAATTTAATAGTAAAGACGATACCTGTTGTATGGAAAGGAAAATGAATACATTAAGAATATATGTAGATACAATGCTACGATTGAAAAAATGTTACTACAATCAAAAGAAAATGCTGAACTTATTGCTTACACAAAACATAAAATATTTTTCCATAAAGTGTTGGCTTGTAATTTGGTTTTCTTTCAACATAAGTACATGTGGGCACTATAATGAACTTCGCAATAATGCCACCCACAAAGGGCATTGTGGAATATATTCCCGCCTAAAACCAAAAAATATAATATTAATGAAAAATATTACTTCTTACAATCCATAATAATAAATCAAAAGAATATGAAGTACTCACTTCAGATAGGGAGAATCCCAATGCCTCTTTTAGAAAACGGGGCAACATCATGGTAAACACAATTATGCCATAGCTGTGGAAAACATGCGTTAATATAAACGCGTAAACTGGCGCCGATGTTAGTATATTCTTCCAAGGAATGCAACTTGACTAGATATTGAAAGAAAAATACCTATTATATGCTCGTACATTGGAAATGCTATGCAAAAAGAGAAGTAGTACCTATTTTAAAGACCTTCCTTATACTTTTTATGAACATGACGGCCACAATAGCCGAGCGGTTAGCATTGGGTATTGCCACTCTGAAGACCAACATCCAAAATTATAGAAAATTAAATTCTAATTGAAGTTGCCTCTCGGCAGCGAATGTTAATCCTTATGATTGAATTTCTGACATGAAATAACAACTCTTCATAAAAACCCATCGACCGTTCGGAGGTGGCTTAGAATATACTACAGATCCCTCCCTTATAAATTCATCTTCTTCTTTTTCTTTACTGGCGTAGACATCGCTTATGCGATTATAGCCGAGTTAACAACATTGTGTCACTAAATTCTTCTTTTCGCTGTTTGGCGCCAATTGGAAATGTTTAGTACAGCACGGCCCTTCTCTACCTGGTCTTTCCAGCGCAATGGAGGTCTGCCTGTCTTTCTGCTTCCACCGCTGATACTGCACGTAAAGCTTTCTAAGCTGGATCATTCTTATCCATCGAAATCACATGACCTAGCCAGCGTAGCCACTATTTCTTGACTCGCTGAACTATGTCAAAGTATGCCGGATTTCTCGTACAGTTCATCGTACGGCGGTCGTAGACGAAGGTAAAAAACCTTTCTCTCGAAAACTCTTAACGCTGACTCATCAGATTTTGCCATCGTCCTTGCCTATGCATTACATAGCAGAACGAGAACGATGAGCGACTTGTAGAGTTTGGTCTTTGTTCGTAGAGGGAGGACTTTACTTTTCAATTTCCTACTCAGTTCAAAGTGAAATCTTTTGGAATTCACTCTTTCCACGCGTCCGCGTTCGATATCCAGGCTGACATTGTTGGTGGTGCTAATATTGGTTCCAAGATAGATGAAAATATCTATGACTGTAGGAGCCCTGCCAGACCCATATACTTCGCTTATTTCTCAAGTCTTCAGAAAGCAGAACTTACAGTGCGGTTATTGAGGACAATAATGACAATATTATCGGCGTACGCCAAATATCAAAGGTGGATACCAGCAGAGACAAAATACGCTATACTCTACAATTTTTCTTCAACAAAGACGAAAAATCAAGTCAGGTTTTCTTGTCTCATTCTGATAATTTTGAGCTGAAAGATGCTCCACGGCGTACGATGCGATGTGCCTGTGAAAGTCGATTGTCCCCATTTTTTGCAAATAGGGACAAGTGTTTCTATGAAAGAGGTATAATGACATTACTTTCAAAATAGCAAAAAGTTATCGAGCAATACGATCCATATTTGACATAAATCGGATAATTCTAATTGAGGCAAATATGATATATTATATAAGTATATAATTGACACTTTATAACCGCTGAAGCTATTCTCGGCCGAGCTTCTCTTTCATTTTCTTTTAAAACAAATAGAGGGACTTAATTCCAAGCCGATTAGCTGATGGAGTTTTATGAGGAGCTTTTATTTTATTTCAAAAATACACTAAGAGGGCCTGACGTTTCCTGCAGAGGAGGGGAACGCAATTAGAAAAACGAAGTTAATTTTTTTTAAATTAAGTTTCTACAATCTTTGGATGTTAGTCGGTCCAGGACTTAGATCTGTAGTACGCCATGCTAACCACTCAGCTGTCGCGGGCGGCAAAGGCAAAAAAAGCCCTAAAGAATGTATTACGTTTTACTAGACCTAACCTTAAAAATATTTCGGCCCAAAGTATGTAGGCACCAGAAAGAGAAGAGGTAGATCTATTGAAATTTATACAAATCGGGTCCGAATGGTGAGTTGAGTTGATTTAGCCTTGTCCGTCTGTCCCTCAGTGTGTCGCTCATTGAGATTTTGGGTCATCAATTTGTCAAAACATTATCTAAGAGCATGAACTATGGTATTATGAGCACCTGTGATTAATTGGTGCTGAAAATTATCGAAATCGGAGGACTTTATCGCAAATCGGATTGCTCCTCACATAGCTCCTGCAACCAATTATTTAGATATGAGTATTAATATTTACTCTTAAAAGAAAATATTATAAATTTAATATGGTCATGAAGGGTATAACGACTTCGGCATGGCCGAAAACAGATCTTCTTTCTGGTTTTAGTTTACAACAACTCACCGTTGACTTTTCCTCGTTTGTTGATTTCAAATATTCACGCTCGTCCGCTGACAATCTAGGATGTTCCTCCAAAGAATTGTAGACTAACCAATTGCATGAGATTCCAAAAACCAAAGCAACGAGACCAACTATATAAAATGTCCATTCCCAATTATAACGGCAAAGTAGACCAGAGAGAGGAAATGCAACGAGAGTACCGACCGTGTAACCAGCATAGGCAAATGAGAGTAAAGCAGTGCGTTCACTTCGATGAGCCCATGTAGAAAATAATTGATACAACGCTGGATTGCCAAAACCCTTGATATATAACATTGAAATGGAATCAACAGTGTTTAGTATATTATTTACATATACTATCTAAATATAAATCTTCTTACGGCCACTAAACCCTGCATTAAGCGTAATATAAACGTTCCCAGATAGCTGATGTGAGCAAAGACCGGTATCAACATAAACAGTACGGCCTGGGCAGTTACGGAGTGTATAAAAAAGAATTTGCCCCCAAATCTATCAGCCAAACGTCCGGCAAACGGTAGTGTCACCAAGTAACCATAGTAGAAAGTTGATTGTATAGCGAACTCTTCTTTGCGTGTCCATTGAATGTCACCCAACTGAAATGAAATGATTTTATGTAAGTTGTGATATGATTAATTGAAAAAATAGTATTAACAATAATTTATAAATCAGTATTTTCCAATTAAAATACAGAGATTTTCATAATACGGCCAAAGAAATAACCCAGTTTATGGACTCATGAGGAAATCAAAGAACATTTAGGATCTAAAATACCTCTGACTCGCATTGCCTACCCGCGCGTGAGGAGTTACGTCAAGAGGGTTTGGTATCGGAATGCTTGAACCCGGTCAACTTATCGCTCTGTGAAAAGGCCTATATTGCTTGTGCACATATTGAAAAACTTCTGTATGATTTACAATTTATTATTTGTTGAGATTGAGACATATGCTGAAGCGATTTTCAACCGAATTTTTGGTATGCGTCTTGATGTTTTTCCACCAAATGGTCCCACCATAGTTTATTCTATTTTTTTACGAGGAGCCTTTATTTCATGTTAGAAATGCACTCAGAGGGCTTGACATATCCTGCCGAGGGGAGACCACAATAAGGAAATTTCATTTTCTATAATTTTTTGATGTTTGTCGGTTCACGACTCGAACCCAGGCCGACCGATGCTAACCAATCGGCTATCGCGGCCGCCGTTCGAAATCTTAAGTATTGAATAATTTTGATGAGATAAATTAACTTTTGCAAAGAGTCTAGGTTTCTCAAGGTTGATGTCGAAGAGATGGTGCTCTAACCTAATTTACTGTTTACAACTGCAATCACGATCAAAGCATTGATAACAGCACGGCAAATATCAGGACGAACACCAGGAGTCAAAAACTCACAGACCTGATAAAGACTGTGGTGCTTTGAGGTGTTTTTAACTCTTAGGGTGCACAAATCCCTGATGTGAGTCTTTCCAAATTATACTTACATTATTAATTGTAGATACATTTTCACTGTCATATAAATAATTTAATGATTCACTAGCATTAACCACTGGCGGACTGCCTTTATCCGGATTGCTCATACAGAGTATGGTAAAATTGAATATATTTCGCATGCACAAATGCATCAGCATTGCAAGGAAAGCGCATATTGTGTAGGATAAACGTACAGAACAGCAAAGAGGATAATGCGTGGGTTCATCTGTACAGGACGCGGGTTTTCTCTCCGCCGTTGCCAAACTCTCGAGCTGAATTTGAGTCATTGCACTTGACACACAGAACACTCAACTTATTTATTTGTTTTTTTTTTTTTTAATAAAATATCTAAAATTGTTTTCAACAAATATTTATTCTAATTGAAAGCAGCGTACATATATGTACGTATGTATTTACACCATATTTTAACTTTAAGAATTACACTACGCGGATCGCTTCCAACCGAGCATCGTATAAAGAAATAATATACTCAAAAATATTTCGAGTTGTTTGTTCTTTGTTGACTGCATGTCACTGCATCTGTGAGTGGAAATATTCGTTGTGCCTGCACGTCTAACTGTATAACACGTTCGAGAACTTTATGTAAAGCATTTTCGTGCATTTTGCGAAATCTTAAAGTCTCGGCTATACTTTTACGTGACAAAACAATAGATGATCCCTAGTTTGAGTACGAATCGTTTGAGTGTTAAAAAGAATTAAAAATAATGCATTTGCACTAACTGCAACTCAGTGCTTCTAAGTAATTGGAATATTTTGTTGTTGCGAAATCAAATAAAAAAATAACAATAAAATAAAAAAATACGAGATATATGCAGGTTGGAGTGCTGCCAAGATAATAGCTTTTGCACCCACTAAATACTTCTTGCTGTCACGACTTATCGCTGCATTCAAATCATTTGTAGAATCAGAGAAACTTCTTTTACCCGATTTGACTATCATGGACTGCTATTGAAGGTTTGATACCTGACAGTTTCCAACGTTCTTCTGTCTAATATGTATGAGAAAAAGCTTAGTATTCCAAGAGGTAAATTAGATCTCTTTCAAAGTATAGGAGATCGTTTGCACTCCGCAAAGAGCCAAAATAATAACGAGTCTTCAACTGTTTGCTTTTAACGAACAAAAAACTATTAGGTCAAGTAAAAAGTAATCCATTATTTTTATATCAAATTTAAGAAATATCCGATTTATGTCAAGTCCTCGTTTGAACTGTTTTGCTCGATAACTTTTTGCCATTTTGAACGTAACGTCGTTATATGTCTCTCATAGGAACTCTTGTTCCTATTTGCGAAAAAAAGGACAATTGACTTTTACATGCTCTCTTGAGGCCAATTCTTCACCAGTCAAATCATTTGCGATATATAGGAGTAGATGGTAATTACTTGGTGCTAGGCCCGGAGTATCAGGTTTATGCTGAAGAACATACCAATCAAGCGCTCGGTGTTTCTGACGAGGCACTATCTATTTGTGTAGAATGGCCTTGTCCTGAGTTTGATTAAGAGTTTTGCAACTTATATAGTATGATTTGACTACGACCTTTTTCGTTTGGCGTTACTGTAAGTGATCAACTTTTCATCACCAGTCACCAGCCGTTTCAGTAATGGGTCGATTTTGTTATGATTCAGCAGCGGTTCGAAGACGGAAATTCGATCTACTCATAAGGCAGCAATACTTCGAGCTTCTTTATGCACCCGGTTTTTTTTATTGATTTCAAACTGATTCCTGGACAAACGAAGTAGTGTTGGCATTATGGCCAGTCTGGACGATTTCTGTTATTTTATCAAGGTTTTCGACTACTGACCTTCCACACCTTGGAACATCGTAACAAAAAAGTCGTAATTTCTCTTTGCTGGTGTCCAGATTTGATACTAAAACACTACTGAGTTAAGTGATCAAAACTTCTCTTACTATCTTCTTTAGTACGAAATATCATTTTTTTCACACCATCAAGTGTATTCCAATGGCACTTTTAGAACGGGAGATACAAATCACTAGAGCCATTTGTCGCAAAAATAATGGATGACTTGTTACTTTAGCTAATATTTCCGTTTCAGATTGGAGACACCAAGTGAAGTAATCCATTCGAATGAGAAGACTTTTCCATCGTGGATCCATTCGTTTAACTATGTCACACTCCACCCTTCTACCCCACATAGCAGGATACGCAGGAAGAGCGATCAAAAGGAAGAACGAAGATAAAGTCCAATCGGTAAGTTGACAATAAGCTCGAGAGGACCATAACTATATGCGCTATTGCTATGATATGGATTGGCCACAGCACATGCCATGCTTTCGTCCGACCATATTCTGTAAACTTACTAATGCATGCCAACCAATATTAAGCCTTGGGTCAGGTCTAAAAAGGCGAAGCTTTTGAAGTCTAATTGCAGCATCTATCGGTCTCTGCAGCAAGCGGCTCGTTATATAAATTTGTCTATAATCGAAATCCTACCTAGCCTAGTGAGAGAAATCAGATCCAATGAAAAAGAGACAACAACCTCGGATGAGAGATCCCAATTCGGAACATAACTGATTTGAAGGATTCTCTTACCTCTCACAAGAGTATAAAAATCTTTGAAATGTGATAGGGTTTGTTGTATATTCATGCGATCACTGGAACTTGATTGTTTGGACTATATATGTAAATTTGTGGTCATATATGTATTTCCAAATATATTCTCTCGAAATCTCCCTCTCGAAGTTTATGTGTGTCAACTCTTTTCTCTCTGAACATCGATCTGAAAAGGTCCGGTTAATTTGTGAACGTTGGATTTTTTATACAGTACTGTACAGCAAGAGGTTGTGAGGTAATAAGTAACTTATACTTTGTAGTTTGGAGTAGATTGTGAGACTCCTTTATTATGAATTGGTCAAGGCACAACACCTCGCAGAAGTGATCTGGCAATTTCCGGCCTAATATGACCACCTTACGCTTCCTTTCTGCCAAGTTCTATGACCAGCTTAATTTCCTGTTTAGGATGAGTCCCAGATATTTGCCAATACCAATAGAAGACTCCGATGCCCCCGCAGATCTAATAACCCCTGCATCCGATCAATTAGTGTTTAAAAAAACTTTTCCTATAGTTGACGCTGAGGCAAGACAGGCTGAAGTAATTGCAGTGGGCGCTGTATTATTAAAGGCACCCTCAATATCCGATAAAGTTACTAGGCTGTATTATTTAATCGAGATAGCTTTATCAATTTATGATACCGTAAGGTGTAAAGCAGTCTTTGTTGACCTACCTTTTATATGGGCGTGTTGGTTTTTCGAGATATTACAATATGATCCACAGTAGATCTAACGTCCATCAATCGTTTCGCTATCTTAAGCAGGAAAGATGTCAGGCTGAAATTTTTAGGTTTACTATGAGAAACCTTTTCAATTTTGGGAATGAAAACCATTTTCGATTCCCTCCATAATTTATGTATGTATTGTAGTTTAGAGTAAAGGCTCCTAAATATGGTTTAAACGTACAAATTTCCTTTTGATAGACTCTCTGTTGGTTGAAAAGTGGCTATTTATGAGAAGCTCGATAGGCTCCTGCCTAATGAGAATACTTTCGTGAGCCTACTACCTTCTAACGCAATCTCCATATTGCTGCAAAAGTGTCTCCAAGAGCTACTTTTTGCCTTTCTTTATTCATATATACATACATATATTATTTGTGAACATTTCTCTTCACAAACGAGTGAGCGTGTGGTCGGAATTGAAGTCGAGATAAGAAAGTAAGCAACAGTCGAAAACTTTACTGAGCTCTCAGTTCCCTGAACGCACCCAATGATTACAAACTTTGTAACGATTTTTCAACATTTCTTGTGTAGTAAAAATTTTCGATTTTTTTTTAAATAACAGAGAAGTATTCATGAGTATTTACCAATATATATACTTACTTATTTACTTTACTGGCGTAGACACCGCTTACGCGATTATAGATGAATTTATAACATTGCGCCATTGGCTTCTTTTTTTTTGCTGTTGGCGCCAATTGGAGATACCAAGTAGAGCCAGGTCCTTAGTCACCTGGTCTTTCCAGCGGAGTGGAGGTCTTCCTCTTCCTCTGTTTCCATCGGCGGTTACTGCATTGAAAATTTCCGAAGCTGGAGTATTCTTATTCATCCGGAAAGCATGACCCAGTCAGCCTAGCTGCTGTTTATTGATTCTGAATTATGTCAATGTCGCCGTATATCTCGTATAGCTCATCGCTTTATCGGCTGCGGTATTCGTCGTTCCCAACTCGTAGAGGATTTTAAATCGCCCATGCTTTCGCGCCACGGGAACGATAAGCGACTTGTAGAGTTTGGTTTTCGTCCGTCAATTGCCTACTCAGTCGAAAGTAGCACCCGTTGCGTTGACTATTTGTTTGATGACAGGAGATATTTCGTCTCATCCTCGTTCAGTACCAAACCCATATCCTTCGCTTTTTCATCTTCGACTAAGAGGTGGTGTGTTCCGATCTTCTTTTTTGACGGGTCATTTCCAAGATTTGGCGTATCGGTCTAAAGTCTAAAGTCACATTGATAAGGTCCAAGAAATTTGTTGACGTTGGGCTTTAGGCTTTAATACAAAACGCTGGAGAGTACCTTATATGCGATATTAACTAAACTTATTCCACGGTAATTGGCACAGACTGTGGGATCCCTTTTTCAAAAATTAAATGCCAATCGTTGGACATGCTTTTATACGATCATATTTTGCAAAATAGCAGTTGCACGCACCTTGTCAGCTGTTCACCACCATGTTTGATAAGGTCTGCCGTAGGCTGTCCTCTCTGGCCGCTTTGTTGTTTTTAATAGGACAATCGCTATTCGAACCTCGACATAATCGGGTAGAGGAACGTCTTTTCCATCGTCATCGATTGGGATTTCGGGCGCACCATCCCCTGGTGTGTAATTTTTACAACCATTCAGCAGAATGGAGAGGTGTTTCCTCTATAAATTTCAATATACTCTCGGCATCCGTCACTAGATCCTTTCTTTGTGTCATGCAAGGCTCTACTCCGGTCCTGAAGTCCTTCTGTAAGTCATGAACATTTTCATAGAATTTTCGAGCTTCTTCTTGACCAGCTAAATGTATACATCTATTTATACATATGTACATATATGTACATACATACATACATATAAGCAAATGTGACCATAATTAAGGATGTTTTCAGTTTTGCGTGGATTGAAGCGAATTTCTAAATGTTTTACTTGAATTTCTTTTATCTTACATACTCGTATTAAGGTACGCATTCACGTACATACGTAACGATAAAATTTCTTATACAATTTTAAATATTCCGTGAAAGCAGTCTTTTATTTAACTATGAATATTACACACAGTTTAATACATATATATATGTAGGTATATATGTGTGTACATGTACGAGGTATGTTAAAAGAATATGAAGAAATTTGATTTTCTGCAAACCTAGTTGGTAGTGATCAAGAAAGCTGGTCAGAAAAGAGTTTTTAAATTTAATCAATTTGATGAAATGTTAGTTTTAATATTTTTAAATAAAATATTTATTACAAATATAGTCCCCGTTAGATATCATGCACTTGAGCCACCGCATCTTCAAATCACCGAAACACTCGTCGAACTCGATTTTTGCGATGGCAAATTTATCGATGCTTTTATTTTATTGCAACTACGGTTGTGAAACGATGGTTCTATAAGGAATATCTCACAGAGCCATGTCCAAACTAAGAAGAAGCA